ATTATCCTGCAACTACAAACAGGCACTTAGATTTTATTGCTAGCAGCTGCTCCACTCCAGAAAAGGAGCCCTCCCTCCATTCTGAGTAGTGACATAGTCCGAAGGTTTTATTCAACTTCAGAGACCATTAGGACAGGTAATATGGCATCTTCCTAAATACCATGCCTAAGTGTGCAATTAAATTATATTTCTTGCATGTAATATTCTGAACAGTCACTACAAACCACATTTAGCTGAATCTCACAGCATTTAGTTGACCATCTTATCCTCTAAAGACAGTGGTTTATGGAAGAATGAATTGCAGGCACTGAAGTCTGAATTAGGAAAACACTTCAGCACATGTTTAACACTATCCAGGGCAAAAATTAAACATTGCTGGGTCATTTGCACTTTAAAGTTATAGGCACTTAAGCTAGAGGTGAAATTTACTTTGTGGATGTAGTGTATTAAATAGGTTGTTGGTATGAAACAGTACTAATCAACTCTCGAACAAGCAGTATTGTTTTAAACTCAGGAAGGTGATGTGTAGATGGCTGAAATTTTTACTAGGAAACTATTTATAATGTATCTGAGATACACTGACACTGCAAAAGAGTAATGCAAAGACATTAAGTGATAATGAGATAAACCACAGCAATAACTAAGAAGGCAATAAAGTTTTCTCACATTGTTAAATTTCTTCCTCCTACTGGGTGAGAAATACATCTCTGCAATGTTAGCTTAGATATAATGTAAGATTTTGAGTCCATTGTGACAGCACCGGATGTAATCAAGCATCAGTACCAGAAGTCTAACACTTAGCCATTAGCTCAACCTGAATTGGCATGGATGGAATACGCTAAAGATTAAGCCAGGTATATAAAGTGCAGTAATGATGGAGTTAAATCATTCATTCTGCCACTTAATTATTTCTTCTAGCTCAGGGACTTCTCTACAGAAACAGTAGATCTTTATTGGATGCAGCCTGCCTGAGTGGAAAAACTAACCTGCATTGAGTTGCACTAAGGAGTCCTTTTTCAGTCTGTGTACGTTTTGTCATTGCACTTATGAAGTGCAGAACACAGGACTATCCAGACATATTTTAGATGCATTAAGTCATAGCTAAAATAGAGTTCACTGATCTAAAGGACTTAATTCACTAAGACCCTGAGGTTTGGTGATACAGCCAATAAGTATTTCGTCTGCTTCTTTCTTCTTTCAGAGCCATCTATTTATGGTGTGATAAAATTATTAGTGCTGGTTATGTGTCATCATGCAAATGCTTTATTTTGGTGCACAGCAGTTACCGGGTGCCTCTTCTTTCAGTTTTGGCATTTAATTGTCAAGATGCATTTTAGTTTCCTGAATTATGTGGACTGATTTAATAAAGCTGCTTACAAAACAAGAAAATACACTGACAAAGACAAAACATTATTTCATTTATGAAATTTATTACTAAAAATAGGACTTCGTGTGCTCAGTCATCGCTATTTATCAATGTTTGCTTAAGGTTACAATTGAACGAAGAACAGTAAATGCAATTTAGTGTAGAAAGGCAAGGTCACGTGGCTTGGGTCTTAGTTAATTTATCTTTCATGACAGATCCTATTTTCTGCTACTGGTATTATTACCCAGCAATACATTTCTTCCATGATAGTGCATCTGCAGCTTACGCACTGTCAAACTTAGTGGTAGCATTTAATTTATGTGACATTATTCAGTTATCAAGAAAAAGTAGTGCACGCTGAGAAACTCAGTGGCTATTTAATAATGGCTTAAAAAATGAATTCTTATGAGTGAGAGCAATGTCTCAAGTACTGTGCTAAAAACACTTCCTTCCATGAGACTGTTCTGTCCTGCTGCTGTTCCTGCCCTGGACACCTGAGTACTCGCTGGTAGGCCTCCAGATGAAGGATAATGGGTAGATGTGCTGACACAATAGCTGCAGAAGGAGCTTGACAATTAGATTTCATACCTTCTCCCTTAAGTAATGGCAGATGGGTAACATGTAGACACTACAACACTGAATTATAGGAAAATCACACTGAATGAGGTATTGCATTAGTCTGTTCTATTCCCCTTCTTGTATAAGACCAGCTCTACATACATCACTTTCAACAGAAACTGATGTAATCCATCCTCAGAGACTGACAGTGATGGAGAAACTTTGTAATTTGTTGTATACACGTATGGTTCTGTATGATATACTGGTATTCGTATCCACATTAACTGGAACACCAATATACAGATGACTTAAGTGACCCAGCAATGTAAGTGTAAAACAGATTCCTTGCAGGATTCAATGGGAGTTCTTTTTGTTACTTACTATCTTCATCTACAAACTGGTTGGTTAGCAGTTTTTGGAAAACAGGGAAGCTGGGGGAGTGATAAATTATACAGATGCCAGTTGTAGATAACGACCTGAAACATTTGGTAGGTTGGGCCGATTTGAATATCCTCATTTAATACAGTTAAATTTGCAGTCTTATATCTAATGAACAAAAAGCATGGCTTATACGGGCAGGATTGGACAAAGTATTTCAAAATGATGCAACATGAAAAGAACTCAGGGTCTCGGTAGATAATTAACTGAACATGAGCCTGCAGCAGAACGATGCAATTAGAGAGTGAATGTCACCACTAAAGCCTAAGCAGGGAAAATACGAAGTGGGAGTAGGAAGGTGACATCAGCCCTGCCTGTAGCATAAGTAAAGTCATCACAGGAATACCACGTACAATTCTGATACCTGCACGTCAGACACGACAAGATGAAGAGTTCAGAAAGTCTTCCAAAAATGTGTTGAAGTCTGTGTGGTATGCCTTTCCACGAAGAGATGAGAATGAGCAAGCTACTTGCTTTACAAGAGAGAAGCAAGAAAGACTGCTATCTAACCATAAAATATGCTTTTGATTGTGGTTTTTTTCTTAGTATAAGAGGAAAAGGCATAACAAAAGGCAGTTTGGGGTATTTTTTCTCCCGGAAAGCAGGAATTTTGTGAGATCTAACTACAAATAAAGCACTCAAAAAACAAACCAATCCAGTGAATAATTAGCCATGTTGACAGCAATACGCTCGATCTTCTAATCCACACTTTAATCTTTCCAAAGATATGGCAATTTCAGGGAAATAACAGACCTGCTGCTGAGGTTTAGAGCTGAGGTGCTACCACTCACAGGATCATAATGATCTCTTCCAGCCTCAAAATACCTTTGATTATCTAACTAACATATTTCTACTTGCTTTCTTTGAATTCTGTTAAATTACCATGATTTATACCTGCTGAGGAAGTGTCCCTGAATCCTTCAGATTTGAAAATGAGACATAATACTGCACCAGTTGTTCTGCGCAGGTCCACCACCACTGAAATCAATATCCTTGAATTTGAAGAAAATCTTGAAAATGGGAAACCTGTAAAGTTGTTTCTGAACTCCACAGCCTGCTCTCACCATGGAAACAGTTGGCCTAAAATAATACTGAATCCTGGAAGTAGAAGCAGTACTTTACTTTGTTTTTACCAAGATAGTTCTACTGAATTCAGAACATCACATTCTTCATTTTGTCACGTCGCTTCTGTGTTTTTGTTTGACATAATATAGAACTGTTATGGTCCTGACTGCAAAAACACCAGACTGTGTTTTCAATAAATAATTCCACTTTAATGGCAAAGTAATAATTTAGACAGATACAGTGTGCACACCTGCAAAAAAAATATACGCAAGCTGGTTTACAAGCTAGAGGAACAATAAACCAATAGAAAATACATCATCCAGTTAAGTCCGATGACACCAAATACTTATTATTATTAGGGCTTTACAAAGACTACAAAACTTTTCAGATGATTTATTTCACTGTTTCTGTCTATTTACACGATATGTTACATCAAAAATGTACAAAATATAAAATGTATACAGACAAATGTTTCACAAACAATTTCTGAGTTGTAAACTAGGTGGACTCACTGAGATGTATTGCAGGAAGTTTCGTGTATGTGGTATCGTGTGTTTGTGTGTTAAATATGGCAGGAAGAGATCTGCAAGCTTGCTCAGAGCACAGGTACAGGAAAGAGTAACTTTCCTTTAATTCTTTGAGTCGGTCAGGATATATGCACTGACATTTTACAAACAGAAACAGATCCAGCTTCTGGGGCCATGATGTTGGTCTGGCTGAATCCGACATGCATAACATCAGTTGGAGTTTTAATTAGGGCAATAGCACCGTGTAGGAACCTCTAGATTCAGTGATGCAGCTCAGTGCCATTTGAAAACTGCATTGATTTATCTTTGTTTTACAGCGAGTGACCACGGGGTGGCCACAGTTAATAGCACCAAATACACATCCTGAAGGTAACATCGATGGAGGTGTACAGGACACATCTACACAATGCCAAAGCCCTTGGATACCTTCTGGTTTATATGCACCTATTTGAACCGGATGCCTCTTGTGGTAAAAAGGGCACTTCTGATTATTCTGAGCAGTTTTAATGCAATCTGGTTGTAGCCTGCCATGACATATGCACTTAAATCATTTCCAGATGTTCAGTCCCCCAAAATGTATTGGTTTCATAGAGATATCGAAACATGGTCACTGTAGCATTGATAGCTCCTGCATAGTCATAACAACTGTAAGTACAGGACAAACACACCAGGTAAGAACAGCTTTTAAGGTTTGCATTCTGTATTTGTTTGTAACATACTAGAAATCTCAGCAAGTGAAACATCTCTTAACACCAACAGAATAAAATACAATTTTTTGTTTGTTTGCTTGTTTGTTTTTATTTGATTTGTGCAAGGCTTTTTTTTTTTTTTTTTTTTTTTTCTTTTTCTTTTTTTTTTTTTCTTCATATATTTACATTACCCACCCAATAGACTGTGCAAAACCAACCCACTTTTACAGTATAAACTCTTCCTCTTCCACAGTGGACATCACTGCTTCAGTGTTCCTCTATGCTGAATTTTTCATGTACAACAATAGCAATCAAAACAACATGCTAAAACCAGAAAAAGGAAAAAAAGAAACAAAACAAAACCAAAACCATATATTTGTGCTCATGCTGCATCAAGTGCATCCAGCTCTGCTGGATAAAAATTCAAAACATCTGTCCTCCAAAAACTCCATTCCATGGGACCAAATGGATTTGAGCCGATTTTCTCAGCGTTTAGGTGGCAGTGGAAGTGGGTTTGGGTTCCTTGTGTATTTCTGAGGGTAGGCAGAGCAATCTATTCACAAGATAAAAATATTATATAGCAACTGTTCTTTCTCCTATCCATTTCTTTAAAAAATCATGATATACAGATATGAGGCTACTGTGTTAACTGACGGTTTCTCATTAGTAAATGAAGAAAAAAACAGTGTAAATTACCAATGGTTTAGGAATTAAACCAACTGTAAAACTGTTCTAGAAATCTGTTTTAAGGCAGTGAGACAGCACCATAAGAAATGTTCCTTCTTTCACTGAAAAGGCTCAAACAAATGAAGCCCTAAGAAGCCTTTAATCAGTGTTGGATAATAATTGGTATAAAACTGTTGTTAAGGAGTGGGCAGGTGGTTAAAAAAGACCTTTGTGGTAAAAACAACTTTATAAAATCTGTGACTCGTATACTAAAAACTTGATGGAGCGCATCACCGTGACCATGGCAGTTAGAATTAAATTGGCACTTATCCAGCATATCACAGTCATGTTTTCTGGTGATTGCACAATACTGTTTGTGCTTTCTGAGTTATGATCATCATCTTTGATTCATTTTGGAATGGGCAGTAGCGTACAACACCAACACCACTGCAGTCCTGTGACCAGCACCACGTGGCACAACAGAGGTTAGAAGAGAATTAGAAGGACTGCATTGTGTATGCAGCACCTCAGGGTAAAGGAAAGGGAAAAAAAAAAAAAAAAAAAAGGAAAAAAAACAACAAAAGAACAAAAGAAGTTGCACTGTAAACTTGTACAGATAAACAGAGACAGAGAGAGAGCAGAGAGAGCAGAGAGAGCGAGAGAGAGAGAAAAAGAGAGAGAGAAAAAGGAAAAAAAAATTCCAGTTTGGCTAACGTGTGCAATCTGCTTAGATGCCCTCGATCCAGGGCCCCTTCCAGTTGACAAATGGAGTCTCACTTGGCTCCATAGGTATCAAAATGCCTTGAAATTAAGCTAATTCAAGCTCTCCACTTCAATTTTTCTTCCTGACTTTGCAGTTAGGTCTCCTGCCTATCTACAACACACCGTTCTCATTCAGGGACCTCGGCGTGCTGCTTTAATACTGGCAGTGGTCTCGTGGAAGCAGATATTACCATAATCCTCCACCAAGGGCTGTCCATTTCAGAGAGTCGATTCAAGGGATGAATCCAAAATGTCATCGTGGTGGCTGGTGCTATCGCTGTCACAGCTTTGTGCGCTCGAAAAGTTGGCTGCCTCTTGAAGCCTCATTAGCATATTCATCTGAAAGAAGAAAGAAATGTTTACATAATCTTGTCTCATTTAATGCTGCAGCAGCCGTGTTAAAATTTAATTAAGCTGCCTTGCTGTACGAGGTGTGCTGGTATCTAGCTGAGGGGACTGTACAAAAGGATTTCTGAAAGGGCAGGGAGTCAGCAGCTCCTCCTGGTACCCTTTTTGCTGCCTTCTGGTCTTTAAATAGCAATGTGAGTTTAAAGGTCCGGAGAGCCAGAGGGATATAATGAAGCTGCCTGATAGCTCTCTTTCATTCAAGGGTGAGAATGGCTGCAGCTGCACCACCAGCAGGGGAAGGAAGCCATATCACAGCCGGACATCTGGGCCCATATTTGCAGACAGTAGAGCTTCCAGATCATTTTGGATGGCAAAGAAGTATCACACTGGAAAAGCAACTGCAAACAAAATCACACTAACATAGCCACTCTGCAAGAGAGAGAATGGGAGGGAGTGGGCGTGGGGTGGTTTGAGGCCAGCTGCTTCCTAAAAGGGTCCCATTTGCTGCTGAAGGAACAGCCTAGCAGAGAGCAGCAAGAGAACCCCCTTCCCAGGAGAGTGGAACCCCAAATAACTCATTAGGAGTATAACTCATCAACTCAAATTGTTAGGATTTGAGGCCACCTAAAAACAAAACATCAAAAAGCAGCAATAGGCCCCAGAAAATTACTTGGGTGTTTGTTGCTCTACCTGTATAATTACCAGGATTTTATTTATAAAGTATCTACTTTTACTAGCATTCTCAGGGCTTCAAGAGATGTTGACACTGCTTTAGAGTTTTTTTAATGAATAAATAGGTTGTTCATGGGAAAAAACAGGTAATGAAAAAAAACAGAGGCAAAGGTACATCCTTGTATATGCACATTAAGCTCTTTTTCTCTGTTTTCTGGGGAAACTTTACATTTCTGTGGTTTCTGTGGGATGCTATTTGCAAAGATTTCTCATAGAATTGAAGAGCATTTAATACTCTTTAATGCTATCAGGAAGCTTTTGCTGAAGGTTAAGAAGTATTCATGCGGAAGAATACTAGATACATGCATTGGGTGTGTAATACAGCCTTCCTGTCAAATGTCCTGCTTGCACAAGCACAGTGTTTAGATATGATCACGCTCCCCTTGTGTCGCTGTGTCTCCCTGTGAGCTCCACCTCAAGCCGCACATTCACAAGTTTCATCTTCTGACAACTGGTCAGATAGAAGAAGCTGTAAACAACAAATGATCACAGTGTGCAGGGAGCACGGGTGACAGGATGCTGAAATCTGCCTACCCAAGTATAGTGACCTTAGTGGAAGGAGATGCATGTGTGCTGGAAGCCTGGGCAATATGCTCACTGAGAGGTCAAATCAAAGGGCCAAACAATCACTCCAAATCTTTTGCTTTGGAAGATGAGATCAGATGAGCTGATTTCCTACACTTGGGATGCAAGGTCTGATTTGGGTACCAAATGCTTCCCCATACATTTCAAGGAGGCTGAAAAGTCACTGCTTTAGCATTGGTAAGAGTTTAATGCATTTTCCTCCATGAAATTCCCTTCTTCTGAGAGCTCCCTGTATTCCAGAGATACTATTCTCTACAATAATACTACAAATTATGATTGAAAGTCAATAGAAGAAGTGCTATATGGGAAGAGCAGTTCAATAAAGCAATTTAATATCCCATTATCACAAGCAGCAATGGTTAATCTCAAACATTTGGGATCACATTTAGGTAAAATGATATATGGCATTTAGGGAAATCGACCTCTTATCTTTGAAGGGCATTATATTTGCATTCTTTTTACTTTAAGAGTCTTATACAGTCACAAGTTTTCTTGAAACGTTCAGAGGAAAGGAAAGGTAACTCTATAATTTGCATTTCCACTAAATTCTCTACCATAGCAAAGTTAGATTATGTGAGTTTCTCAGTTATCCCTTGTACATATATATATATATATAGAGAGAGAGAGAGAGAGGATATCCTTCACACATAGGATGTACATGACAAATTGGCTGACCTGGAAAAGTGTATTCAGAGCAAGCTGATTAAGCAAGTTGCTTAAGAGTGGTACCTGAATGATGAGTACTAGATACATGGAAACACTTCTGGGCAGATAGAAAATGCTTGTGATTTAGGGACCCATCACTGTGAAGGTGATTCTTGCCCTTTCTTTTTTTTTCCTTACTTTATCTGACACACAGTAGACTTCATTTTAAAAACACAGTTTGGAACAGGTACATAACATATTTTTTTACTGTATAATGTACAGTTTAACATGTGACATCAAGGTATATATTGAAAATCATTTTTCCCTAAGTTTAAGTCATACCAAGGGATCCCCCTCTGTATCAGTCTGTGGAACATGCTTGGAGGTTGTTCCTTCTTTTGCTGATGCATAACCTTCATAACCAACATCTTCTGGTCTTAACTGGAGTAACGATGGCCACTCATGCTGTAGAGATGCAGAGCTCCATGGATATGTGTCAGCTACCCACTTGGAGGGATCTTCCCAGGGTGCCCTCTTACCATACATCTGCAGTGTGAATATAACACAGGTAAGTATCCAATAATTTTCACTACTGGTTTTAATGGCAGACAAAAGTCATCAAACTCATTTAAACCTTTCTAGTAAAAGTTTGCTTTCAAACATGCTCAGCACTCAGATATGATAACACACTGAAAAGATTTCATCCCCATTAGTGCTCCTTCAATACTCAGAATGGATGCAAGTTGAACAGCACTCTGTAACTAGTGATACTTGTAGGCAACGGTACGAGCTACAAGCCTTTGGTATGAGAAACGAGACCTTTAGGTAACTTGCCTAAGATGTAAGGTGAAATTATCTTTGATCTATCTAAAACATTCAAGTTAACTGGATTTTATTTAAAGTGAATTAGGAAGTGCCAACATTGATTGTTTTTTTCTCCTAGCAAAATGGGATGCAGAAGCAGACATCTGTACAAACCCTGAGATCTTTCACAAGGTTAAGAGAAGAAATTCACAAAGGACAAGTTTTCCCCATTGTTAAGGGCTTATAAATCTGTTAAAGGCTTATAAATCTGTAATGCCAGAATGAAGGAAGAATGAGAATACTATATGTTTAGGAGGTCCGGTAACTTCCTCACTAAAATGCACCTTCTGTACTCTGCTGTTCACAAGCAACAGGTCAACTGAGAGACCCTTGGCTGCAGTTTGACAGATCTCCTTTAGCTGTGCTGCCTTCAGTGACAATGACACATGGGACTTGGGAGCCCGCTACCAGGGTCTTCCATGATCTCTCTCAGCTCAAACAACTTCACACAGTCCAAGAAAAAGCATAACACTGGCGGAGGCATTTAGATGGGCTGTACTCCTAACATGAGTCAAACAGCAAAGGATTCTAGTGCTGAAGCCAGAGAGAAGAGTTGTGCTTATTATTGCAACACCTGCTTCCAGGCACTTGCTGGATCCAGATTTTCAGGTTAGGCAGCCCAGTTCCCTGTATTGTATACAGAAATACTCAGACTTCTGCCCTAAACAGAGGCACGGCTGCTTAGAAAGGATTTGATTAAACAAGCCAAGAAGAAATGTTTCTTAGCAAGCTGACTCCTATCTCCTGGCTGTAGGTAGCACTGCCTCTCATCTGAGACAAACAGTGGCTAAAACCTTCCTGGAAGCTGGGGCAAGGTTTGTAAACTGCATGTTTGACAAGTGAGCTTACAAAGCACCAGGCTAGAAAGTAATTTTCTACCCTTCCCTGGTTCCAGGAACATCTAACTATATCATATAAAAGGTTTCTGTTTATTGTTAGTAATGCTGTTCTTTGGAAGGCATCCTAAGCATATAAAAAGTGGAATGGCTCATGAAACAACATATTTTCTTCTGTCTGCTGCCATCTTCTGCTCCAAAATTGAAGTTTTTATTTAAGGAGTTACCCTGCATACTTGGAAAAATATGAACACGATGAATATCCCTGTGTTTTTATGGCTGATCTAAACAAGTGCTCTTAATCTCACTGTGGCTGTTCCAGTGGATGTTTGGCACTTTTTTGCACAGCATAGACACGCTGTAATTTCCAGAAAGATAAGCAGTTCTAGGATTGTGTGAGATATTCAACAGGCAAGATGTGAAACTTCCATCTTGTCAGCATGCCACTATGTCAGTACAAGGCGATAAAGAACCTGCAGCTGCTTTCATGGATCTTTGACTGTTCCATAACAACCCTCTCTGCATCATGAAGTAATTTCTTTTGCTGTCATGTGTGGCAAAAAAAAAAAAAAAAAAAGAAAGTCTTTTCACAATGGGCCTTGCCAGGGGGCACAGAGGAGTTGCAGACATAAAAGGAAAGGAAAAGAGAGAAAGCCAAATACAAACAGAAAAAAAAAAAAAAAAAGGGATTAATTGCAAGATTTAAGTTTGCTCCAAACCTGTGCAGAGGTCCCAAATCATAACCTGTATGGAACAGTTTACAGTCCTTGATACTGTGAAACTATTCATAGTCCTACTAAAATTACTATTAAACATTATTTGGTTCAATATCAATAGACAGAGAATGCTACGAGACTGGAACTGGTGTTAAAGCCTAGGTGTGGAGAAGACATGATGGAGGGAACAATGAAATACTCTGAACTGATAATGCTGTTATCCACAATGATAATTACAGTCATTAGAAAGCCCATAATGAGAAAGAGATAAGGAAAGAACAAAATTCAGGGGAAGACAAGTGGCGGTGCAAGATACAAAGATGAAAAGGGACAGATCTTCATGCTCAACATGGCCAAAAAGTAAATTATCTCCGTCTTCTAAATGGTGAAAATATACTTGTTCACAAGCTTTCCTCCACATGCCTGCATGTGTACTTCTCTACATGTTGGACAAGATCAGGCAGACTAAAGCTCTTTTCTTACACCAATGTAGAATCTACTAACTCTCACATCCAGAGGTAGACTGAGACCTGCTCAGGTTATGAGCAAGTCAAAAGGAGCCAAACATTAATATCTATGATCTCTTCAGAGTTTTTTTCTTATAAATTCAACAGTATTTACAATTGGATGCATTAGTTAAATGTAACTTAGAGGAAGCCTATAAGCAATTGTTAGGAAGCAAATGACATACCTGAAGTCCTTCTCTCACTGCTTCCAGAAGATATGGCACCAAGGAGTAGTTCCAGAGGTCTGTGAACCACACTCTGGAGCCGTCAACATCCATGGGACAAGGGAGGAAAAGGCGGGGACCTGAGAAGTCAAATTGTGCATTGAAAAAGTACCCCTAGTAAGCCCACTGAAAATAACCTTTATAAAATTTAAAAAGTGGTATTCAAGCATAGAGAATACAAATACAGGACTACAGTATAGGATCTACCAGTAACCTGTTATTAAAAATGAACTAGTGTCACTTTATCCAGTTCTATGGTCAGATGAATACTCACCAGTTTTACTGCCAAACCAGTGTAAAAAGATGACTTGCTAACAAAGCTTTTCCACTAAAAGACCTCAGGTATATCTTCCACTAGTTTGCAGAAATGACAGTCCAAGTGTTTTTACTGCTTTGATTATGCTGCAGCGTGATGGCCAGAAAAAATAAAGCTTAGCAAAGTTGTTGTTGAGGTAATATTTTGTGAAGTTATTTTCTTAAGATGATAGCAATTTACTTTAAAATCTTTAGCAACCAAAGCACAGACACCAGGAAATATATACTATCTTTTCATTTCAGCCTTGCTGGCAACACTAACTAGGTGAACTCCTCACACTTATTTTGTATTTATCACTGACAGATGACAAATTTTAAAAAGAGAATTCAACTTTCACAAACCTCTGAAATAGTCAGCCTGTGTCTTTATTTCAAACCAGTTTGCTAAGACTCACCAATGGTTACATCTGAAGAGCTGTGTGTTTCTAGGAAGCTGTTGAGATGATGCCATGTTTTTGGGATCCAGTCAATGATTTTGATGAGCTCATTATTGCGTATGTTCTTTTCTATTTCAGTCTCAATTAGTTTCCTTCTCAGGTATCTTCCTAAGAAACCTTTAACAGGCTCAGTGTGATTAGCACACAGCACCCACCTAGGTAGAAAGGATAAATGTCAAGTAGCAATGAATTACAAGTAGAGTTCCTCTTTAACAGGTAGATGACAATAATGTCATACGCTTCTAAATCTTGTGAACCGGCAAGTATAAAACTGCATTACTGCTCACTGTCACAGTTCTTAGCAGGAATTCAAGACACTGCTGAAGACAAATGGAATGCAAGAATGCCATCATGCTCAGAATAGTGCTAGAAACGCTGGAAAGCATCTCGTTTTTTTTTTTTCAACATTCCCAAGCACCATACTGAGACCTCTCAGTACAGGGAAAGTCACAGAATCTCAAACATTCTCCTGTGATGAGACACAAGATCAATGTTTATTGAAGAGCTAGTCAGAGGAGCAGGGAGCTTGAGACTTCTGTGCAAACACAGACATAGTAAAAACAAAGTGAAGGTACCTGAAATTGTGATGCAGCTCCAGATTTGGTGAGGAGGAAACTCCCTGGTTCATAGTTCCAATAATATAGGGACTGGAAAGAGAATTAGCATGTTTCGTTGAGGGATAATCTTTTCAGATATTCAGAGAATATTCTTAATCTTATTTGTGCTAGGCTAATTTTGAAGAGTGTGGATGTGTTATAATTTTAGATTTAAGATATTGTGCAGTATCCCCTTTTGTAATTCTTGTTCTCGTATGATTTCCCTCTCTATACATTTGTAGTTCACCATCACTCATCTATAATACAGAATAAATGAGGCAACTCTGATCATATGCCTCATTATTTTGTGGGAAGCTCAGAATTTTAATTTCAGACGACAATGAATCTCGTGCGTAAGACGTAGCATTCAGCAATTTTTATGAGGGGAAATGCCTATGATGGTGCTTTTACAGTAAAAATAGTCAGTGGCCAATAAAAATCCCAGAAAACATTGTTATTCTTGCTTGGCAATAAAGGACATTCAGCTAACTCCATACTTCTTCACTATTATAACTCACAGAAAAAAAAAACCAAACTATCCACAGTTGCTTCTCCATGGCATGGTTCATGTGTTCCCACATGTCCCAAATTCCCCTATTATAAAGCACATTTATTATTCTTTCCCATAAGCCAACCTCATGGTACTAATGATCTTATGTGACCTGTCAGGGCAAAAGAGATAAGAACCTAATTCAGTCAAGTACGTCTTAAATTCAGTCTCAGTGCAGTGCAAGGGATCATAAAGTAAAGTTGGCACATAAGTACTTGGCTGAAGAGGGTCAAAATTGTTCAAGTGCTTAAATTGAAGGTGCTGTACAGAAGCCTTGCTGACAGCCTAAGGGAATCTAAGTATTTACTGGAACATTTCATTTTGCAAAGTAACAAACAGCTTTTACTGTAATGTGAGTAAATGTGATGTGAGAAAGCGGAGAAAAGAGCTTCTACTTACCATTTATTGTATTTACAATTGAGGAAACCATTGAAGATGTCACTTAGTGAACTGATATGGTGGAGGTTATCCAGAATTATGACCACAGGGAGGTCAGCACCGTTGTTGTCAGCACTGCATTGCTCAGCTAGGTTAGCTAGGTATTGTCGCAGATCCTTCAGCAGAATTAACAAAAACCATGAAAGATTAGCCCAGTTAGACCACAGATGTAATTTCGGGGGAAAAGAACTTCAGAAAAAGAGGTTGCTACAGAGTTTCACCACTGTGGACTGCTCAGCTGGATGAGCACATGCTTCTTAGACGGGACAACACTGAAGCCACGTGCTAGGAAGAACAAAGGCTCTAAACTTAAGGCAAACGACTGAAACAGACACATTCCTATTTGGTGGATACTGTTCTTAGAAACCTGCTGGCAAAATAAGTCCAGTAGAAAACAGGTTGCAATAAAATATCCTACCCATTTTTATGAATGCCACATATATATATATATATAACAATGAAACAAACCAAAATCCAAAAAACAATGAAACAAAATCCAACCAAATTGTCACACAAACTAAGCATATTGAACTGCTCCCATAGATATCTCCTTTCATTATTCTCCTTGAAAACCTGATCTTTTGGGGTTTCTATATCACATCTTACAGTAAAGATCCTCTTGTGAATGTTTTTTTTTTTTTTTTTTCCTGTCTGGATGTCATTTAGTGCTGAAGTAAAAGCAAGCCTTCTACAATCAAAATATTTCATATTTTCCTTGATGCTTTATTGCCCTTGATGTTCTGAGCTATACAGTTTTATAGCTCTTTCCCTAGAGGTAACTAATTGCGACAGTGTTAGGAATGTTCAATATTATAGGCAAAGCTCCTATTGTCATTTCACTTCCTGGACTGAGGATAGCAGAATCTTCTTCTCTTTAAAAAGAACATGTAATATTTTTCTTATTTCAAGAATGATTTTTCTTTGGCTTTCTATGCTCAGGTTTCTCTAGGGAACATCATGGGCTTCTTCCAAGAAAAAGCACCATCTGTGTTGTTTGAGCACACTTGGCATTTGACAATGATGCTTTTTCTTTTTTACTACAAACTCAAAATCTCTATGCAAATAGAAAGGGGGAGGGCGGGTGGGGGCGGAAGAAATCCACCGCATATATCAAGCAATTTACCAGTAATCTAAAAGCTTGCTCATTTGTGGGACAATTTCCATTATAAATGTATATGCAGTATAGCAATAAAACATGAGCACATTCCCCGCCAAAGTAAAAGGCACCACAAATCTTCTGTATAAAGACAATGGAAAGCGATGTTTGTACTGGAATGGTTCTCTCACCCCTTTGAGATCTGTATGTTCTTCCTTCTTATATTATGTTAACATTCATTATGTTCTGTGCAAGTCAGAAAGCTCTGGACAAAACCTTTCATTTTCTTTTCCCGGGGTACCAAGTTAGGAGTATACCCAATCTAGGATAGCAAGTGATTAGTATGATCTGGGGCTGCCACAGTAGTCACGTTAGAGGCTTGCTAATTTGAGCCACGTAAATTGCTCTGACTGTGACAAGATGTCACATTTAGGCAATTTTACTATGGTCAGCTTCCTGACCGATGTACAGCAGAAACCATGGGAGTAGTCATATTTGTAGCTGATTGCTGCACCCAAGAGAGTGGTTCAAAATTCCCATTCTCAAATCTTCACTAAAAATAGGCTGCTATTGCCACTATACAAAAGCAAGCTAGACCAGCTGTTCTATAACGTTTCTGATGAAGGAATTACAGATACATCAAGAATTGACATGTGACTGTGCACACGGCCTTAAGATAGATTTCCTCAAATGAGGAAAAATTCTGTTTTTCCTTCAGTGCTTCAATAGTTTGTTTAGAATAGAAAGATTTGGTCTTTATTCTTAACTGGGATTGGAGAGTGAATCCTTGTCGAAAAAGATGCTAACTGAGCAACAATCAGTATGCCAGCTAATGGTATACTCTATAATCTCCCTACAAACCAGGCAGTAAGTTATTATTTCATTTCTAACTTACCTTGCTTGACTTGTGATCTACATTAAAGGTTGTAATGGCATCTTCAGTTTTTTTCCTCCCAGATTTAGTTATAATATATTCAGCCAGCCTATTAGCTAAATAGGTTTTTCCTGTGCCACTGGGTCCCGAAAGAATAATTCTGCGATGCTCCATCAGTAAATTAAAGTACCGCTGGGTAATTGGCTTAGGAATTAATGTGTCAAACACAAAACTGTCCAAACTGTTTTCTTCCACTCCTGGGAAAGAAAGAAAAGAAAAATGGCTTGTCTTCATCCATGCTAAAGTAAGTACAGGTTTGGACCAGCATCCGATGACATCAGTGCCATGCTCTAAGCAAGGTGAGATACTTCCTAAACCAAACACCTGTCAAGGGCTCTGCTAATGTGGAAATGCTGATATCCTTATGCAGGGCCAAAACATAAAACAGTGGCAGTGGCAGTGTGACTAAATGGATGGGAGAAAGCATATCAAAGTAAATGTGAAGAGAAGGCTCAGTGAGGCAAAGATGCGTGTTTCAGACACTACAGGCAACTATGATAAAAAAAAAAAAAAGGACAATTTGACAGCTACAGGAGTTACTGGTTGTCACATCCATACATGGACAATTCTGAAGGCCACTCTCCACTCCAACAGCAAATCCCTACAGCTTTCAAAATGTTTCAAATTTTTGCTGAAGAATTGGGTAATACATACATATTTTTTGTCACAGTCTATGGGTTTTTTCCTGTTTGTTTGCTTGCTCTTCCTTGTCCACTATTCAGAAATTTACACTTTGTTGTGGTAATTTGACAATTAGACAGAGGAGAGAGAAATTCTTAGGTTTACCTCAAAATGTCCCTGTGATAGGTACTGTACAATGTCATACAGAAATGTGTGACATATGTGCCAAATGAATCCTTGAACTGGACACAAAATACAGAAAGGTCAGGCTTTAGGAAAGAAAAAAGAAGGAAAGAAAAAAGAAGGTATGGAGAAATGCATTGAAGAGCTGTACAGTGTCTGCAAAAATATTCTTAGGGTTTTACCTTTCAGGTTCACAGTGATGATGTTATTATCTCCAACCAGATATCCACAAGGCAGCAGTTCAGGCACTTCTAGGCTATGGGCTCTAGTTACATCCCCTATACAATAGCTAGCAATGCAGTCAGAGTTTAAACCCAAGCTAGCAGCTGGATCCACTCGGAAAATATATTCCTGAAATTATAGAAAAATATAAGATGTAAAAGTGGATACAGTTATTGAATGAAAGCAGTATACCAAAGTACAGATGAATTCATTTGGAGAGGAGATTCTTGCAGTCAAATTCAATAGGAACCACCTATGATCATGAAAAAATACAGCAACATTAACAGTAAAGGTTAATGGTGGTGTTAGCTATATATTAAAAAAAATGACTTGGTAAGACAAACCAAACACATAGGCTTTTTCTTAATTGAGAAAGGATATTGAATTAATATTTAAGTTATGTTTTTAGTACCTTACCTTAAAGAGACGTCTGATTACACCATCTAAAACGTCCCATTTTGTTTTGCCACTAACTCCAATTGATCCTATCAGATACGTATGCGACTTTTGATCCTGAAAAGACAGATACTTTGAGAACTAGACTAAAAATGGTGGCAAGAAATTTGCTATAAAGACTCCTGATTTTCCCAAATAAAGAAAAGTAGCATTATTTGGTATGTGATGTTACAAGTTTGTTAACAGCCTCCATGCCAGAAAAAGGTATAGGTAATATTACTTTGGTACATATTTATACAGAAGGAAATAAAGTATCTTATTCTTCTATAAGCTTTCACCAATAATTGTAAAGAGTTGAATGTAAATAAAAGTTGCACTGTGTTTATAATTTTTCTGCAACACAGAACATGAATAAACAACTCTATTTCAAACTGATTACCCAGCAGCATATTCATAGTTGCACTCTAAGAGGTATAAAGCATATATCTAATTTATAACTACTTTTAAAAGGAGCTAGCAAGTCCCAGAATGTATTACTACTAATTAAACTGAGAATTGGTAATGTCTGAACCACTACAAAGGCAGGAGGAGGACATATGAGAGAGCGCCAAACTGAACACAAACAACAGGGCAAAGGCTGCTGCCTTTTGGACATTTATTCACTTCCTGGCTGAAAACACTGAAAAGAGCTTAGTTACTGTAATGGAGGATGTGCCAGAGTAGTAATTTTGTGACTGCTGGGTAACAAACTTACCTTGGATCGACTATAACCCTTATTTATAGTGACTAAAATTTTCACACTATGGCCGTCTTTGTGGAGTGCTCCATCTGTGACATCATCCAACAAAATATCTGTAATAAAGGGAAAGAGATCTAACAAATCGTATCAGTTATGTTCACCTCATCATTTCAACACTTGCTCAAAGGGTTTTTTGATTGGAAACAAAGGTTGCTACCACAACAACTTGCAATCATTTTAATCTCTATTTATCTACATTTTTCCTTTTTCCGATAGAGATGAAAAAGACAATTACAATTTGTCAATTTTTGAAGCAATATTAGTAGCATTAATCACATAGAAATGAATTGGGAAACAAGAAAGAAAGACATTTTTGCATTATAATTTTGCCTTTTCTTTCCTTCTTGGAAATTGTTCAAAACCATTCATCTACAAAGAGATGTTGTATAAAACTTAAATTGAGTTTATGTCTTTGGGCACTCACTATGCCCTTTAGAATGTTGTCAGAAGAAAAACAACAAATCATTGCAATGATATGTTTGCTGCTCCAGTAAAATAGCATTTTAATTTCCCTTTCTAGATTATTTTCTTGCCTTCTGTACATATGGCATGGATAGAACCCTTTTCCCCCATAACACAGACTTAAAAAGAGAATCCTTAGAAAATCATTTTTCATTCCCCCAGAACATGTGACAATATTTAGCCATTCCACTAAAAAAAAGTTTTACTTTTCTTGGAGGTAAGGAGCAATTCTGATCTGCACTGTGCCTCCATTTCTAGCTCCTCACTAAGTCCCTAAATGAGAATCTGGAAGGATTTATTTCTTAGTGAAGACTGAGCCTGTAGCTTTATTTCAACAAATAAAATGTCTGTCGTCCTCTAGAAGTTCTGTTGGAGACTTTCATGTTAGACATTTAAACTGTCAAATTTGGAGAGATTATGAATTTGCATTTTCTTCAAAGGTCAGCACAGTAATCCACAACCATAAATCCTGCTTATTCCCATTATTACGATTGAATAAATGCATTGACCTATGTCAGAGTTTGCACAAAGTCCAATTTCCTTCAAATTAAAGAAGGTGAGATTCAATCACAGAAGTATTCACTTGAAGCAAAAGAAAATAAAACTTACCAATATGACCTCAGTGAATGTATTAAAAATAAGCAGGTCCTCATGTAAAATATTTGATAATTTACTCCAAGACCTAGAAAACTGAGGTCTAGAAAGAAGATTCTACTGGTTTGTTTACTTAATTATTTTTAATGGATCAGATGAAGCACATTTTGCTGTGAGCTTGAAAAAATCAAATCTCTGCACATTTTGTTCTAGGCAGCCAGTTCTTCTGTCCACTAACACTGAATGTTTCACTTCACTTGTTTGGCATTTTGGCATATATAATAAACCTTAAGAGTTTTCATAATGTCACAGTTCATCTGAGGGCAATTTAGGATATCTCTGATGCTCTAAAATTTTTCATTTTCTAAATGACTCTTAGGTAGCCTTTCAAATACAGTTTTCAGTAAGCCTTTAAGAACAAGGCATCATTCTTTGGCTAGGAAAAAAATTACATTTGCTTCTGAGATGTCTCTCTCAAGGACACAATAAGCTGAGAAGATGCACGCAGAGGGCCTAAACTCCAGGGGCATGCCAATTGCTACCTCCTGCTATGCCCCTGATAGCATACCTTGCTATGCTATGGTGGCCCCAGAAACCTTTAGGTAGGGCTTTAGCATGCACTTCATCAGACAGTGCAGAGAAAGACCTGTACTAGTCCTTGTTTTTTTGTTCTTCACTCTCACCCATCTGGAAGATATGGTCATATTCTTGGGAAGAGGCAGTGAATCAGTTTAGTGATTTTCATCTGACATTGGTTTCTTAGAAAATGCCATAGCGCTTGTAAAGTGAGGAGCAAAAGCCCTCAGTAGCTGTCTTAGTTTAGTTCCCAACAGGATTCACCTCTTCGTATCTCAGGGACTTTAGTTCAACAGTGCCTCAGAAACCCCACAGACCTTGGGAGGAAGCTTCCACATTTCATAGTTCTCTGGCACAGCAATAAAATGATACCCTCAACGATCAAGAAGGCTGGATTCCTAATCAAATAAAATCCTCCACTCCTCATTAAGCATTCTTAACGTTTCTTTAATTTCTTACAACCAAAAGTAATTACTTTACATGCTACAAAAACATCTTGAACCAGTAAGACAAAATCATATAAAGCTTGTATTACACAAGCTAGTATTTTTCCTATATCTATGTCTAGTTTTTTCCTATATCTAGACAAAGAGAGAGTCAAGAGACAAAGTGCTAATAGCTGCTATTATAAGAGTTCCTAAAGCTACCCTTCTGAAAAAAAGAAAAAGGATTTATTTATTTATTTCTGTGTGCAGATATGTGAGCAGGGACAATCTGTTTTTCACAACACTTCCTTATATATCATGGTCCAATTTGATTTCATACATACTAAAAAGCAGCACCGGATTAAAAAAATAGATTGGAATGTAGATAAAAATATATTGATTTTCATATCAAATTGATGCTAACCAGAAGAAATATTTAAATATCCATGTAATTAATGACTGGCAAGATAATATGCCTGGCTGCCAACCCAAATTACAGTCAGGCAGTTTGGCTCATTCCCAGCTGTAGTCTTGCCTAGACTCTTTCTACAGTTATTAGGCACATTTTTATTGCTTCCAGAGACTACATTATCCTTTCTGTGGACTCTATGCTAATGAGTGCTGCTTTGCTTCTGCTGTGCTTCTGATTCTAATGTTAGAGACAACACTTCTGTTTCTTGGCTACATTATCAAAACAAATGTAGAAGACTTATTGTCATAAACTCTGTGGCATGGAAAATAATGAAATGTTAATGTTCAGGATGTACACCACAGTTCTGCTTGCTTTTTCTCATTCATGGAAGACAATGAGAACTTAATAAGGCCAGGCAGGATTTAGCTCCTGTGATGAATGATGTTTTGGTCCAACACAGGCTAGCTAGCTGTATCACATAAAGCATGTGTAAGGAATAAAGCTGAGACCACCTTCTGCTCAACATGCAAATGGGATGTTAAGGAAGACGACCAAAGAGATCTGTAAATAAACAAGGAAAGTTGCATGTACTACACTGATATTTGTCCAATATGGACATGAGAATCTGTCAGTACTGTTATTTTCAGAAATGTCTGTCAACTTTATTCCTCATCTCCATTACTGAATGTGTATCTGATGTTCATATGAGTGACATGAGGCATTTTAATTTTCATGTACGCTTGTTAAGAAGATGAAAACTAATAAATTATTATAAATTCATGCATGTGCTCAAAATATGTTTACCTGATGTAACAGATTCAGTGATGTTTAAATTGTTCAGAGAAAGTCCTAGCGACTGCCGTGATGAAGAAGACGATGTGCTACTTGAAGACTCTGATGATGGCCGGGCAGGTTTTCCAGTATTTCCAGTCTCTGCCTTCAGACGATCATTTTCAGCTTTCAATATCTCAATTTCATTCTGTATTCAAAAGAAATCAACATAAAAGCACAGAAGTTTATTCTTTTCGAAAACCGACAGTGCTCCTTCTGGTGCCTGCTGTTTACCTGAAGGAGGTAAGTGGCTCAGCAGTTTAATTGCAGCATGTAGCACTGTATCAGAAGCATAAACTCAATGAGTGAAAGGCCATACACTCATACATTTCATACACTTGAAATGGCCAGAAAAATCCTACAACATTGTTCTAGCTTTTGCCTCAAGATATGTCACAAACACCATATTCTCCAAGATTCTGTGTTTCTTGTACAGCTGACCATAGTTCAAGTACAGTGGAAAATTCTTTAGCTACTCCCAGTTTTAGAAGCTATTTTTAATTGCCAAGTAACTTAGGTAAGTTTTTAGAAAAATCTTTGATATATCAATGTTTCTAAAGTCATGAAAATGATTACTGCCACTGAAGGTAAAATATTCTTCTTCAGAGAGGAGAAAGAAAACTTAAAATAAACAATTAGAAATTGACATTTTAACAGTTTCATAACCTTCCTTGTTATCAGATAAGACTTCTTGATCATTCAGACATGGGATTGGTTATGCAATGGCCAGCAAACCCTCTCTAATGAAAATACACAATGACAGATGAATCAGCACAACTAGGACATTTTTTTTGTTTAACTAAGTTCGCTGTGATGCTAGGTGATTACTACATAATAATAATAAAATGAAATAATAAATAATAAAATGCAATAATAAAATGAAAACAGCCTGACAACAGCTTGGTACCAGGTAGAGCTAGTTTTCAGTTACACCACAAAGCACAGCACAAAGCAATGGCTTATTCTCGCATACTGTTTTGCACATCAATTTTAATTCCTGATTCATTAATGCTCTGCTAAAAGTCTTATTATGAAGGCAGTTCAGCCACATTATACAAGCAAATCATATAGGATATCAGCACAGAAAAATGCAACTGCTACAAATAAAAAGATGTTACTGGCAAAGGTGAGAAAAAAGTTAAATGGAAGGGTCAAAACAGAAAATCATTCACAGAAGGAAACAAGTGAATGCACCGTTTAGCCTTGGGATCATATCAGGAGCTATGGTGAAACAAGTCATGTAATTTTAATCTGCTCCACACTACACACTGACTAATCACACATTTTTGCGGTGCTTAGAATTCACACAGCATTCTTATATCTTCTTCACCAATCCTACTCTTCCCCTTTCCTAATCGCCACCCATCCTCCAAAATGTCAGAGTCTGTCGTCTCCTAGGTGGCTGTCTGTCTGACTAGGAAAATTTGAGAAGAATTGGTGATTACAAAGAGCAGCATCTGAAGTAGTTTCCTCTGCCCAGTTTTGGTGAAATTAAAGCTTTGGAGGCATGAAACTATGTCAAATTCTTCTCTGGGGAAGTTCAACTTGTTTAGGCCTTCATATCCCAGTGTATGATTGTGCCCTATCTGTGTGAATATTGTGGATATTTCTGAGCTTGCAGCTCTAGACCATTTCATGTAGGTGACAGAGCTGAGTCCCACAGAGCTCCATGCCACACTGAAGCATGCGATTCTTTCTGCATCCTTTCAGCCACATGAAAGGAAAAGTCTTCTGAAATAGTAAAATGTGTTCAGGAAATAGTTGGAGCAGTATCACAAGTAATAATGTAGTGAAAACTGAATGATGCTGGATGCAATAATATAGTTCAAATTTACATAGTTTGCTTCTGCAAGCCATGACTGGGTTAGGAATTAGACATGAAGAGAGAATATGCACATATTGTCCCATGGCTAAAGCATTTAAAGATCTACAGAAATCACTTCTTGATCTGCTTATCTGTCATGCACCTTTCACCAGATACAGGGTTTAGAAAATGGATTTTATATTTTTCCACCTCTCGCAGCCATTTTAACTGATAATATAAATGCTAGGGCTACTATAAGTTGAACACTTATCCTTTTGAAGCACAGTCAATCTTGTAGTTTGCTGCATATCAACACCTACCTGAAACAAAGCAAAGGAAACACACCAAGCATACTTTTGGTGTGCATCCCTGTCATCACTTCAGCTGCTGCACTGACCTGCATGCGGTTCATGGCCTCCCGAATCTGATCCAGATGATGTGCAGAGCTGAGGGCTTCAAGACGAATGTCCGTTAATTTTAGCTCTTTCTCTCTCAGCTCACTCTTTAGCTGAAGAATTATTTCAGCCTCTGCCTCTGTGCACTCACAGATCCTAAAAAGGAGCAGGTGACAGGCAGGAGATTAAAGGAAGATTCTCCCCCCAAAGCAGTATCATTACTAAACATCAAAGTACAGAAAATGCTTGCTGCTGGTGAAACCCTATGAGTGAAGAGAGAATCTTATCAAAGAAACATGAAAAGGCTTAAATTGCAAATTAAAAAAGGGAAAAACCTCCTCCAGATGAAATGATTGGCTTGCTTTATACCTTTCTATTTTAGTTAGATCATATGGTGAAAAAATAAAATCCTTAAAAACCTTTCAGAAATCTCTTTTTGGCTGTGCATCACCCATGAGCTTTAACTTGATTTTTCTGGATCTTTTCTTCAGTGTAAAGGTTATGATTTTTCTAAGTACTAATAGTAAGAACTGAAGTATGCCGGTCAAACTGTGCTACTGACACTGACTATTTTTAAGCCACAAACAATTTTTTTTCTGCTTTGAACTTTTTTCTGCTTTTGATTTGTTATCCAGAAGATTTTAATCCACATTGGTTTTAATTGATCCATTTTCCTACAGTTTTGGAAACCTACAATGTCTAAATTAAAAGGTGCTTTTTCTTAAATAGCTTTTTTTTCCCCCTTGAATACAGAATTAAAAGTAGTCACCATGTGGTTGCTTTTTGTATTAATTTCAAGGGGAAAATATCATTATATTATGAGAAAAGATAAAAACATGACCAGCTGAGGCATTCAGCAACTCTTCAAATCTTGTTTCAGATTGTTTGGTATCTGTGTGTCTATCACACCCAGATCCATTGCATAACAGAACCAGTACAAAATAGAACACTGAATTTTGGACCCATTGTTACACTATGCAAAATTTTCAGCCAGTTCACCAAATGTTATTCATTTCTTATTACTGACACTTTAAACAGTTAATATTTGCAGAACAATTTAAATATAAAACACATTTTATGACGATAAGTATTATTATTATTATTGTAATTATTACTACTAATAGGACAAACAAGAAACAGAGGTCAATTTTAATCGCCAAATGCATGCAAATGCATTTTGGAGGAGAAGATGCAGCACTTTTCAGGTCAGCAGCTGGGTACACAACTCCATGCCCCACACTCAGTTTTACCGGGATCTATGCCTGTAGACCACGTGACCATTTTGCCTTTTCTTTGGTGCCCAGCCTAGAGAGGACCTGCACACACACGCATTGGACAGATGCAATCGGAAGAAAGTCAAGTCAATGTTTTAGAACAAGAAACTCAGAGCAAGAAAAAGTAAAGAAACTATAAGCAAATGGAAGATGATGGAGTTCATCAGAAATAAAAAATATGGCAAACTGAAGAAGAGAAAGAAAGAATGTTATTCACAACATGCACAAATATTTTAAATGTGAGCAGAATGAGAAAAAAAGAAGCATGTATTAGGATTTTTTTCCCCAACTATTTTGACACAATTCTTGGTTTGGAGTGCTCATACCTACACTAACAAAATAAAAAATGAAATTTCATTTAAATGCATATTTTAGCTCATAAAATAATTTTGACAGCTGGGAAGTCACATAAATATTTTTTCACTATTTTCTTTTGGGACTTTTTTCAGTATATTATGAGAAGGAGTAGAAAAAAAACCACCTTGACAAACATCTTCAAAGCAGATAAAAACTAAGCAGAAAGCCTGGATATGGTTCTAGAAAAAAATCAGGAAGATGATGTCTAGAATGGAAGCAGAAAGTAGAAAGTATGAAACAATTTTTTTTTTTTGCAGTTCTTCAACATGCAGCTACTACATCTATAAAATTCAGAAAGATATTCAGTCTTCACCAAAAAAAACTAATAAAAAAAAAAGGCAAAATTCTGATCTGCAGAAAAAAAAAATTTAAATGTTTATAAATAATTTACATAATTTTAAGTTTTCTCTCTTTTGATAGTTGCAGGACTGTCAAATCATTAGGTTATTTTGGGTGAAGGGAACAAAGTTGTCATCTTTCAACAGCAACTGCTGACAATTATGAAAGACAGTAGAATTTTAAATGGTGCAATGGAAAAAAGTCTTGCAAAGAAACTCAAATGTCCATATGACAGAAAAAAAAATTAATCTGAAGAAATATATTTTATGTAAAAAAATGAACTTATTATATCCTTTGTAGAAAGCTCACAATAATAAAAAAAAAGATCCAAAAGATCAGTGTCCAGAAATGTTACAAAGAACTAGAAGGCCATTAAAGAGAGAGCTTAGGAAGACAAGGCTCGCTCAGAAACCTAAGCAATTATGGGAAGAGCTTGGGATAAAAAGTTAGACACGTAGTATTGTTCTTGATGAATCCAAGTGATCGGGACATCTAGGCAGTAAGTCAAAAAGATACACTTAGAAGAAAAAGAAAAGGTTATGAAAGCAGATCTGTGAATCATGAATAGATAATTTTGTTGAAGAACAGTGTTGTGTTTAACTTCAAGCACTTTCTATTAAGGTTTTTACTAGTGATTTTAAGGTTGATAGCAAATCAGACTGAAGGGTACAAAATGCAGAAATTATTCCCCAAATACACACATGTACCTGAAACCATAAAAGTGTGAGCTTCACATAAAATGCCTAATAAAACTAGACATCTAGATGAGTTACTCTTTAATAGGCTGCATGAAATGTGTGAAATGAAAAACATTTATTGTGGAGCAGTTTCTTTTATGCAAATATTTGCTGCCTAAACCTAGTAATAAAAATCCTTACAGTCTATCAAAAGTTGATTGTAAAAAGGTGCATACCAAACACAGGGAAACTCTAAACTTCAGCCATCAGTCGCAAGAAGAGAATTCCCTGCATGCTCTAAGGAAGGATAGTTCTGAACTGGTTACCCTCAGAGCAAGAAGAGGAAGGTTGATGGCAGTTGTATATGCTTGAGTGAGTGTTCATGGAGGATGATTTACCCGTGTTGGAAAAAATTAGGATTACATTTAAAGGCATTAGGAAAAAAAAACAAAGGTAGGAGAATATGAATGGGAACTGAGAATTCAATAAGAATGTATTGAAAACAAAAACAATGGCAAGAACACAATGATTTCACAGTGAAGAAATGAAGTGGCTTCTTCTGATTGATGATTTGTTCTCAGCCCTGACAGAGTGAAGATGTTGACCAGAATAAAATTAAAAGGTAAAGTCCTGCAAAAAAAATTTCAAGTTGAAGAAGCAGGGAAAATTGGTTTAAAAAAGGATATAAATTAGTAGTTGCATAGTAGAAAAAGCAAGAACAGAAAGGATGAACATAGTTGTTAATGGTGTAGGAAGAGCACAGCATAAACTTTTGAGGCATTCATTTCTAAAGAGATTTGTACTGCTAGATGATTTGGAATAAAAACTGTGAAAATAAGAGAGAATATTCTAAGAAAAAGCTGCTGGAAAATAAGTGTGTAAATTGAGTAAACCTGGCAAATGGATGAAGCAAGGGTTTAAAAGACCACAACAACTGGCCACTTTGAGGAGGTCTTCACAGCTCATCCCATTTGGGAAGAAAGGATATTGAGGGAGAGACTTACGCAGAAGCTGATTGTGACGGTTTCATTGATGTTGCCCCGCACTCTCCTGAGCTGTGGGGCAATTTGGGTGATGAAGGAAGAGATGAGTCTGTTTGTTCTTCGATGTCAGAATGGGACGAGGGAGGCTTGGTGGACTTCTTCTTTCCAAAGGCCTGTTTGAAAGAGCTTCTTAGCTGGAAAATAAACACAGATCAAGATTATTTCCCTCATCTCAGTAATCTGCATGCCGGTCATGTTTTGAAGAGTTAGTTTGCAGATGCCATCCTAGCTACTGCCTGAGGTCAGTATACAGAAGCAAGGTATTAACATATGCAACACGGTATCTCTAAAAACATGATACAGTGTTTGTTTTTCATTTATTAATCCAGCACAGCGCAAACATAAGTCTTTGGAAAAGATGCAGGACTGAGTGGTGCAGCTCTGGGAGAGAGGGGTGCTCATTTAAAGCCAGTAGACCCCAGAGGAATCCCATTCTCATGGCATTCCCCTCCAGGGATGGCTTTAAATAACCACTTCACATCTAGGTACAGGCAGATCCTGGTGTTCCTAAATGCTGAAATCAATAGATAAGTCCAATTTATTAGGTTTGCCAATTGACTAAAATTTGAACGGTCAAACCATTTCAATGCTATGATTTGGACCACGAACGAGAAGACTTAAGTTGGGATGTAAGATTTCCTTTTTGAACTGTGAAGAAGAACGTTAGCTGAAAAGTATCTACTCTGTGCTGCCGTTTCCTTTAGAACAGTAAGATCTCTGAATATACAAGCATTGCATTTTTGCTCTAGAAGCTTTGCTGGTATTGAAAAGGGACAGAATAGCCAAAGAGCCATTTATTTCAGGAGCCGAGATGAGAACAGTTTTGTTTACATTGAATTGTAACTAGCCCATTATTGATACCTTCATCTAAGTACAGAAATCGATCATCTTAGGAGAAATATGTTGCTTTATTTATTTATTTTCAGGAAATTGTTCTGATTTAAAATTGTATAAAACTCAATGACAAACCTCTACATAAAAAATGAGGTACTCAAACATTTTATTTTCATGATGTAATTGGGGAGTGTGACCACTGACCAGAGAAACATTGCTTAAGTATTTTTCTATTTTTCAGATCATGAAATCTAACAAGAAAGAAATGGATTTTGGCTACACTCCCCCTTTCTAGAGTCTAAACTTTGAGATTAAAATGAATGAAGAGAAACTGAGAAGACAAACAAGATAATCTGTTTTTAGGAGGTATAAAAGCCTACTGCCAAAATAAATAGCAATCATGCCAAGATAGGGTTCTTTATAGATGCATGCCAAATTTTCCATGGTACATATTCACCTCACTTCCTCTAGAGTTCACCTTGCAGAAACATGAAAGAGTGTGGAATTACAAATCAAGGGAATGAAGGCTGATCAGTACTTTAAAACAAATGTTTACGCAGGTAATACTTCTAGAGCAACAAAAACATATTTTCTGATTATTAATTGAAAATATTTGATAAAATCCTTAGTACCATGTGGTATTTGTGTGTTCCTGTGGGGAAGTATCTTACTTTCTTTAAAAACCATACTGATTTTATATGATAATTCTTAACAGATTTCAACACCCTTCACAGCTAGATAACGTATTTGAGTCAAATTTTTAAGTCAAACTCTTACTGAAGAAAAATTAAGTGGGATTTCAACATGGTCCATGTATATTTTAGGTCACAACATATTTTAAGGTCATTTCCAGTTTTTATTATTAATATATTTTTTTAATTATCCTGACTTATGCAAATGAATCTCCATTAGTATTCAACAATTTTTAGTTTGCTAGTAGTGCCACAGTATGTATCACAAGTGAATTGCTTTGCATCTGTCTGGCCCAACACAAATACTGTAGACAAAATGGGCCAAGTATGCTATACAGCATAGGAAATGACATAGTAGATAAAAGATAGGTTTAGAACCGTTGGGCACTTACCCAGTTTTTCTTTTTCTTTTTTTTGGAGTCAGCATCATTACCACTGCCAATGCTGGAGTGGCTTGTCGCACTGTTGATGCTGGAAACACTTTCTGAAGAATGTTGCCGCCTAATACGTAAATCTAAAAAAAAAACAAAAAACAAAAAAGGAAAGAAAAAAGAAAAAAAGGAAATACATTGAAAGCCATCTAACTAGGAAATAGAAGGTGATATAGACTCTACTTCAAAGTAATTTTTCTTGTATTTATACAGCACCACCCTCCTTAACTGAAGCCTAAATGCACATAAATGGCATTGATTCTTATTGTGGCTTGTATCCAACTTACTGCAGCCTGTGAGAAACCGAATGGGAGTCAATGGGGATGTATTCAGAATATGTATGTGCTTCTCTGGATGGGAAGGCGTGAGGGCAACGACCATGAACAGCAATCTATGCAGGCATAACTTCACTGCAAAGCAGCTTTTGCTACAGATGGATTATTTAAGTCATCAAATGTGCTACAGGTTTTTTTTTTTAATTTTTATTTTTTCTCTGAGCAGTATAGGCACTATATAACTTGTAGGTGGCCTAATCAGAATTCCTTCTAATATACCATGAGAGAAATAAGCAGGTAGGTTCATTTAAAACAAATGAAACAGAATAAGAATTGGAGATTGCTAAAATGGTGGGTGAGACTTTTGAGTTTCAATTTCTTAAAAGTTTCTAATATCTATAATTTAATCACTGAAATATATTCTTGGAAAACATACTAATACCAAAGCATATTACTTTTTAAGTTATTTTTTACTTTCAAGAAGTTGCATTTCATACAATGGAATGATTTCAGGACAAACATCCAAATAATGACCTCTTTAAGCAAAGATCAATGATGCTCTAAAAAATGAACAATGCTACTATTTTTTTTTTTCTGCAAGTGATTACTTTGTTATTGTTCAACAGCACACACCTGTGAGGTGCATATTTATCACATAACATCCGCCAACCACATGACAAATTAATTCAGAATCTGGAGTTTAAAATGCCCGTTCTGCACTGCTTTGGCAACTTGTGAAGAGATAGACCAGTTGTTGTCTGTCTCTTAATGATTAAAACAAGTTGCAGTGCTACATCTTATGCTGGATTTCCAAAGTATGACAAAGTTTTGCCTTAAGATTTCACTGGCGCCTTGGGATTACTTCAATATAAAACTGCAGCAACAGGTTTAACTCTTGACATTTCTTGACAGGCCATTCCTGGCCACCCAGTTCTGAGATGACAAGGTTCCCAGAACTCTTCAGCAAAGAGGAGATACAGGCAAGGTTTCCAGCCATGGAAATACCACAAGTATGCCTACAACTTGCTTCAGAACAACTTTGCCCTTGCAACAGAGCCCCCAAAACAACAGGAACGTAGTGATCAGCCTTCTTTAAAATTTTTTCATTTTTTCATTTTTTTTTTTTTTACCTGAAGAGAAAGTGTGTTTATTTTAATTGTGACACAAGCCTACCTTTGTGGGTGTGATCAGGTCCATTCAGAGCTCCTTGAATAGCAGCTTGTGCAGCAGAATTTTGGGCTTTCAGCATTTCAATGGTTTCCCGTAGCTCTATAAGCTCAGATTCCTATGGGAAGGGAAATGAGAGCTGGAAATATATGGCACAAGAACAATATTTATCGAAGCCAAGAAAAGTGACAAGAATGATCAAACTGAAGTACCATAAGACTGCCAGGATGAACACAAGGATGGCACAAATTTCAAGTAGAATCTCTCTAACAATATTAAACCAATGTATAATTTTGTATTTTTTTCTATGCAGTGTGATCATGTTATCCCTAAGGAGAAGAAATCCTTTTTTATATATAAAATTTGATCTAAAAGGAGTCTTGGTTGAATACTTTTTATAAAGTGAAGAAAAAGACAAAAACTTTATTGGCAAGAGGCATTAAAACCACTTGGATTGTATCTTTTATATCTTTCAGAATTAGAGGCTAGTCTTTAGTGGCTGAAACTCAATCTAAATTTGTGTGATTTCAGTAATATTAAAAAATGAATAAATAATTCCATTTCATAAAAATCTGTTTAACAGTGACTGTCTTGTAATTTAAAGTGAAATTACTTCAGTGCAGGAAGTTCTGTACTGAAATGCAGAGTTGATTTTAATTAAAAAAACAGCTTTTTATACTGATTTGTTAAAACCTCTCCCTCCAGCTCTTATTTATGTAATGAAGATTAAAGGAATTTAATTTCAACAGCAGGGAAAAGAAAAGAAGGGATGTTACAAATCTTAGGTGGAACAAGCTTGCTTATGAGATGATTTGTTTCAAAGTTTTTAATCTCTTCTGGAAAGAAAATATTTGAGGGAAACTATACTTTGTAAGAAGTTAATTTGAACTAAATCTTTTTATTTGTTTATTTAATAATTTTGCTTTTTTAAAAAATTTTAATTTTCTATCCAGTTCACATTGCATCCTGCAATGTTTCATGTGTTGGTCCTCAATCAGACTGCAAAATTTTATTTTATACACAGGTACACTGATTTTAGAGGTGAGAAACAGTTTACTGACATACAGTTTCTTTCAGAGTTTGGCTCACTGAGGCCCCTTACTTTGTAGGATAGTGTTCTACTAAGGGCAGAAGACAGTTATAAAAGTTCAATACTGGAAGGTGCTAAGAACCCCCCTAATCTTCAGCTGGGGACAAAACTTCACATTAAATTTATTCGCTACCAGGTTCTTGTTTCTTCCCTGACAGCCACAGCAGCACTTGGAAAACCAAAACTGTTTCTAAGTGAATAGGCAAACCCAACCTGCATTTACAATGAATGAAGGCATTTTTCTCTGCCTAGAGTCCCTCCCTTCTCACACTGATCTCATTCTAACAAAGTTGTTAGGCTGGGCTATGACTGGTATTTGTTACAGGATCTTTCAGTATGGATTAATCCTAGAAATGCATACATTTAATTAAAATCTGGAAGCAAAGATTTTATCTTCAAGCTATTCTGTGATATTATCTGGATAACCCTGATGTGCAGAGTTTAATTCTCCTGGAGCTTTATGAAGATTTGATCGCAATGGCCATTAAGAAAAGATCTGTCTGCCTTGCTGACACAGCTGTTCCTGTGTTTCTGTTTCCCTTCAGTTTTTTTTAAACAAAAATGTAATATAATCTGCCGACTTCATTCCTCATTCCTCATCTTCTCTTGTAAACATACCTTTTGCTCAGCTGTCATTGTAAGACTTTGCAAACGGCCAGTCATATTTCCCAAGCTTTTTTCAAAAGCTGCTACTAGGTGAGCCTGTGAAAGAAACAGAAGACATCACTACTTGTGGTAATGGGTCTTACTTGCATTGTAAAACTTAAAGAAATTGTGGGATGCTCTATACATTTTGTCAGGACAAACAATACTTCATAAAACTCAGCACTCCCAGTTTGGGCTTTCTCCCAGATCTATTTCTTTCTTTTTTTTTTTTTTAAACACTCTTTCCCCCTCCAAGTTTATCTTCTCCAAACCTCTTGCATCAATTTTAAACTCAGACTGAACCAAATTGGCTATGTGTAGCAGCCAAGTGAGCCCAGTGTTCCTTGGGCTTCACTAATTCCCAAGGAGTTTAGCTTCAGTACCTCTGCCTGCAATGAATTATAGATTTAATGTCCTGCCTGAAGTTACTGATATATTGACCAGAAGTCTGCTCCAAATAGAAGTCCGCAAGTGATTATTTTCAATTATTGAGCAATTCAACAGAGAATTCAAGTGCTTTATCTTAAAAGGAAAGTTCTAGGCTTCCAAATAAAACGTTCCAGTAGAATCCCAAGGATCAAAAATATTGCAGTTTTTTTGTACAGAAGGTCATTGCTTGATCTCTTTCTCTTATACTGATAATATATACGTATGGGTGTGTGTGTATTTGTGTCCTTATTTATGAAATTAATATAGAGCTTACATAAAATATAAACATGATATTTATAAGTGCAAAAAGGCGTATCAAAAACAATCTTGAAAACTGTAACTCCCGCTCCTCAAAGAGCAGTACATTGAAACTGAACCAAAGATTTAATAAAATAAGCTTCATTCTGTTTCTAACATTATTCACCCTCTAACCTATGTCTAAATAATACATCACTTCTTTAGCGGTTGCAATTTATATTGAGCTCCATAGGCAAAAAAGGGCAAGTGGTCATAAAAAAATCAACAAGATAATCCATCTTTGACAGTAAAGAGCAAGTGAGAATTCACTTTTCATGAAACTCCATAAAATCAAATCTCTTTTCACAATACCAAATAGTTAAAGCAAAAGAAAATACTTACTTTCACTTTTCTGTCTCTAGAATGATAATAAGTGAAGTTTTCTAACATAGGGACTATAATACACTTAGGAAGATAACTCACAAACAGCTAATTTATATCCACAAATGGATTAACTGAGCATCTTCATTCCTAAAGAATGACAATTTCTTTCTTTTAATGCAGCAGTAGACTTACACTTTGCTTAGAAAATTTTCCCACTAGAGACTGGCATGCTTCTGTAAGAGTTGCTAACATTTGTCAAACATAGCTGATAGTAAAGTCTCAAGTATGTACAAAAAGAGACATAGTTCAAAAAGGACTGTTAAACAGTTCCTTCAGTCTCTCCTCATAGGACACATTCTCCAAGCTTTTCACAAGCCTTGTTGCCTTTCTCCTTGAGCTGCTCCAGCACCTCAATGTCCTTTCTGTACTGAGGTGCCCAAAACTGAACACAGTACTCGAGGTGAGGCCTCACCAGTGCCCCAACAGGGGCAGGATGACTTCCCTAGTCCTGCTCACCACTCCATTCCTGATATAAGCCAGGATGCCATTGGCCTTCTTGGCACCTGGTCACACTGCTGGCTCCTGTTCAGCTGACTGTCCATCAGTACACCAAGGTCCCTCAGGCAGCTTTCTAGCCACTCCTCCCCAAGCCTGTAGGGTTGCCTGGGGTTGTCATGACCAAAACACAGGACCTGACAGTTGGCCCTATTGAAACTCATACAGTTTGCATTGGCCCATTGATCCAGTCTATCCAGGTCCCTCTGTAATGCCTTTCTGCCCTCTGGCAGTTCAACATTCCCTCCCAACTTTGTGTCCTGAAGATGATGAGCAATGTCCCAGAGCACAGAGACAAAGAAGATGCACTAAAAAAGAGCTACAGCCAATGTGACTTTTCTACATGTGTTTAACAGGAACCTAAAGGGGCTTTCTGTTCACTGCCTCATAACAAAATCTGTAGTTCTGCTGATGACCCACGGGTCTGCTTTACTACGAAAATAAAAATGGGTATTTAAGGTTTGAAAAGAGAAATCATTTGCTCAATTATGCATTGCTATTTCTGATTTCTCATAATTGTATTGGGATAACTGCAGTCCTTCGGTACCTAATCATGCATGCTTGTGCAAAGTAATTTCCTATTCCATAGATACAACCTCAGCTTATACTTTACACGAATAAAGTACAATTAACAAAGAGCATCATTGAAACTGTCATTAAAGGTCATTGAAACTATGAAGTTATTGTCTGACAGTTTCTAGAGAATGACAGCCATGTCACAATTACGAATTCTTAGTAAAATTTACCCAGTGATAGTGTACGTTACCTCAGAGTAGCACACTGTGATTTTTGCATTCTAAATGCAATTAGATTAAGATAATAATGGATCTTCCCCAGGTGATTTCAGACTACAGGTCTTGATTTGCTAATAATTCAAAGGTCCATCGACTGAAAACTAGTCATGAAAAAACTTCAATCACACTGGCCATTATTTTAAATGTTTATTACAAAAGAACACTATCCTATGAAGGATAGAAGGATATATGACACCTATACAAGGTGTCTATTTTGTAATGAACTGTGCTATTTTCCCCCACAGTAGCAAATATGTATTTATTCAGGCGTCTTGGGGATACCTATTTGTTCCAGCAAAATGTCCAGCTTTATTATGATATGCATCTTAGATACATAAACAATATACAGCTCTTAATCTCTAGATCCGACAAATATCAACTAACTTTGACTTCTGCTTATAGCTGAAATTCCCATTGGAAAGTCAGAGACACACGCTCAAGGAGATATATGCTACAATGTGAAGATAACAGATTTGATATACAGCATTTCCCAAGCCCCAACTACCTCAGCTCTTAGACGTACGGCTATCTTGAACAGACCCCTGGCATATCTAAAGACTTTGCTGATGCACATTCCCATTTGACCTGTTGAGTCCAGGCTTGTAAAATAAAGGTAAATAAATAAATGTCCTACCACTTGACACAACTGAATGGGAGGAGTTGTGAGAGGGTGCTGGGGTCTGGTTGGCTGCAAGTAATGACTGCTGACCTTTCTTCTTCACTACTAGCTATTGTCTTCTTGTTTGGTCGCAGGACTGGCCAAACAAGCATTAGCCAGCGAAACCCCTCCACTTTCCAGTGGCATCCAGACTCTACTACAATGGGTATGCATACATCCTTCAGCTTCATACAGTATAAAAAGCAGTGATCAAAGGCTCTCCAAACAAGCTGCTTGCTGGAATTTGAGCTGATTAGTCTCATAGGAAGTCTGCTGGCTGAACACTTTCAGCACTGAAAACAGCTCTTTCTTAATTAGCACTGAGATTTGCCCTTCAGCAACATTGAAAGAGACATCAGGGAAAAGCCAGAATATATATATAAAAAAAAAAGTAAATTAAGCATCCAAATAACAGCTGGGCCTGGCATGGATTTAATCACATGCAGGCAAAACACTTTGGGGTTAATCAAATGAAATAAACAGCTGAAATCAAGCATAGTACTCGAGTCCAACAGTGCCTGAATAATAAATGAAAACGAGTAAGTAAAGTCTCATCAGAGGTTCCCAAATGCCTAAGAAATGCTTTAACTTCCAAATGGTCAGATTCTGGTATAAAATCGTAAATGAAGAAAAGGCTTGACCAAACAGGTCAAAATTCATTCTGATGGTCCTTTCATGACACTTGCACTACGAAGTGTCTTTTGTAGCAAAGCAAGGGAAAAAACACACAAAGAGGATGGTTATGAAATGGCTGAAAGACTTTTTCTTTTTTTTTTTTTGCTCAGTTCTACAAAGGGAAAGGATAACAAAAAATTCCAGCCTGAAATGAAATGAGATCTCTCATTGTTGGCTTCAGTTTGTTGCTCTCAGGCAAATGAAGAATTGTCCAGCCTGGCAGAGATGAAGATTAAAATTTTACTTCAAAAATACATAATAGAAGGAGCCCCAAAAAACTGGATGGACATACTGGCAATGAATTCTCAAATACATATCCTGAATTGCATTTAAAAATCACCATAAAACAGATTGTTCAGTAACTGTCTGCTAATATCATCTGAAGCCATAGTAGCCAGACAGGACTGCAGCTCACGTTCCCTATCTGGCATTATTTTCTGATAACATGTTCAATAACTCATATTATCAACTGATAACTGATAATTATCATATCAACTATTGGAAGTTAAACCAGGGATCTTTCTATGAAATGTCCAGTCTTCATTGGTTATATATCAGCATAGTTACTGAAGCTTGTAAATTCTATGTATAATTTTATGTTATGTTGTTCAAATCTGTCTGCATTATGCTGAGCTTATCTTTGTGAAATTTAACTATCATAAATTCTATCAAAATCTTCAATTCATGCCCTCTCCTTGGTTGTGTCTCCTTACTTCAGGGTTTTCCTCCTAGCATACAAAAAGATGAACATGAGCCAGCAGTGTGCTCCTGCAGCTCAGAAGGTCAATGGTATCCTGGGCTGCATTAAAAAAGGGGTGGCCAGCAGGGAGACAAAAGTGATTGTCCCCTCTCTACCCAGCTCTTTGTTTTTCGTTTTGTTTGTTTCTTTCTTTTCGTGCTTGTATCATTTTATATGTCAGAAAAAAATGTTTCTTTTCAACTTAAGAAGTGGAGCAGCATACTGGTGTTGGCAGTTTAATACCAACAACGCTGATGTAAATTTTACTATGGCTCAAGATCTCTAATAAACTTTAGTTTTGGTAGTTTGGATGACATATAATGGAACAGAGTATTTCATGTTACTGTTAAGCCACAGCATTTTATTTATCCTGGTCCATATTGAGCCCGTCTCTATACATTTCAAAATGATTTTTAACAATCTAAGTAGAATGGATTGATACTTCTGTCATGAAGCATCAATCTCCCACTCTTACTTGTGCAGAATCCAATTAAAATTGCCAGACACTAAATCTAACACTTCAAATTTCATCTTAAGGGACAGGTAACAACATCAGAAAAAAAAAAAAAAAAAAAAAAGAGAGAGAAATCACAACCACTACCCTTTTCAGAACATTAATTTCCATATCCACTGTGTTTGACCGTAAGACTTTTTTCTGCCTGAAGGTGAGGAGATGTGGATGTGAATGAAACAATTCATTTTAAAAACACCAAGATAAATCAATAGTAAAAGTATCCTAGATCACATCTCGGAACCTGAATTGAATAGTAGTTATTAACCTATTTGACAGTATTTTTCAGCAGGGGCAGAAATACTTACATTTGCAGAAAGTTGAGATGTAAGAGTAGCAACTTTTTCCTGTGATGCAACAAGCTCTCTCCGTAGTTTCTGAATTTGCTAGATGGAAAAAAGGCTACCATTAGTATTTCAGCAATTGACTTCAGTTGAATTTTTCTTGACGCTTTTCTTAAGAGATCACTAATGTGTGATCACTGTGTTAAACAGTACCTTAACTTTTAATTTTAATCTCAAAACTGTGAAGAAATACAGATTAATAAAAGTAAGCAATTAATGCTACTCCAAAAATTTTCTTCCACTTAAGCAATACACCTGCTAGGATTGCAGTTAAGGAGCACAAGTGAGCAAATACTTCATTACTTCATATGTACAGTTCCCTGTTTGCACATGCAAACAACATATTTTCTTTTTACCAAACTGTGTAGACTTCAAACATATCTTTAGTGTTTGACTCTTTGAGGCCTGAAATTATGCAATACAAATTTGCAAAGATTCACCTTGCCAGAAGTTAGCTGTGTAATGCAATTACGTGTTGAATGTCTGCATTAGATGTAAAATAAAGTGCCAAAAGATACTCCTCCACTGTCCGTTATGAAGAAGGCTTCAATGGCAACCTCTGACACAGAACTTTATTTCATAGATGTCTAAAGTTAGGTGCGATGTGGCTATATATATATATGTATTTTCACTCTAACACTATAGTTCCTGCATGACATTTGATTCAAATATGCAACCTTTAACTTTTCTAAATCTTATCTTTTTTTTTTTTTTTCTCCAAAAAATCTCTGGTCAGCTCACAAAAAAAAAATAATGTAGCTTTAAATATACATGCTGATGTAGAAATAAACTACATTCAAAGCTCCTGTATCCTTTTTACAAGAAACATAATCCTTAATAAAAGCTGAAAAAGGCTAGATAGCAAGCATGAAATCTGCACATCATTTTAAGAGCATTTGACTCGACTTGAGATCTTATAGAGACTCCAGGCATTTCACTGAACTTAAGCACAGCATAAAGTTTCCCTTTGAACCCCTTTCACATTCAGACATAAAAGGAATTACTGCAAACTAGAGAAGTAAAATGTCTACAGACATCCTAGCAAACAGAGCCCATGACATTCTCATACTAATACTTTCACTGTAAGGACTACTGCTATATTTTAACTTTATGATTCCTGTGAAAATCAACAGGGAATACTGTACATGCTTTAAAGGTAAACAAGCTTCTGTATGCCAATGATACAAAAGTAATTAAATAATTTGCACTGGCTCAGAATAAAAGATATTTTTGAGCTGTTTTCCATTCTGGCCTTCTCCTTTTCTTTTCCCAAGAACTGTCTTTGGTTTTCAGTAGCAATAATTCGAGCTTCCTGAGTAAGAATCCTCTGATTACAGAAATGCAGATCTCACAGGGCATATCTAGATACTAAGAAAGCTTCATAAATGTTGTTACACCACTATATACAGCCCTTTATGAAGGGAAATGAAACAGGGAATTGTCATTTACTCTACTGAGCTGTGATGCATCTTTTCAACGCGTTTGATTTAACTGTCAGACAAAGGAGCTTAGAAAATCTCAAGGAAAATCTCAAGTATTTTCTCAATACTGAAAAATAGTGCAGTAATCAAGGACAAATACGTTTATTTGTTCAATCTTCCCAAAGTATCTTTTTTTTGTTGTTGTATATATATATTTTTTTTTTTTTACTTTTTGCCTGATCAGAATAGTAAAAAGCAAGAGCAGAATAAATGCAGTCTGGAGACATGCAGCTCTGGGAAGTGGACATGCACCCCTTGGTGCTGCAGCTTATTGCTGCTATTCCTTGGTGCCCTTTCAATACGACAGAACTTTGCATGAAGAAAGACTATAATTGTATTCAGCTGCTGACTCATTCTTGTCACTCGTTCTAATGTACTGTGAGGAGAAAGAAGCTGTTTTCCATGTCAGGTTTGATTTATATCTGCAATCCATCTGCATTTCTCCGAAATTCATCAAAATGGTCAGTTTTGGAAATTTAACATGCAGCAAAGTGTAAGCGATGGAAGTTCAAAGTGAACATTTTAAGTCTTTTTCTGGTGAAGTACACGGAGTTACCTTGAACTGCATAGTCCCTTAGACCCAGTATGGAGTGGTTTTAAGTATGAGATCAGATGTATTACAACTCTTCTGCTCAGCAGCCTGATTCTTACTGATTTTTTTTTTACCTTTCCAGAACCTCAGCCAGGAATCCTTCAGCACAATGCTCAGAAAACACCTTTTAGTGCAGCGGATCATACTTTTAGTTTAGATAAACAATACCTTTCTAAGAAATACCAAACAAATACACAATTACAAAGATGAAGAAGCGTTCTTACCTCTGAATGTGCCTTTTCTTCTGCCTGGAAGAAAACGAAGAAGAAATGGTTTAGAAACAAGAGCGACATAATTGAGGTGATAGAAAATAAACACCAGCTACTCTAAAGTGAAATGAATAGCTTCACAGATCCCTTACTTTTAATGGAGATATGCAGTAAAAACAGTAAATGGAATTCTTTTTAACTTACTTGGAACGGCTCCAGCTGAAAACCCAAAGAGTTTTCCAGCATACTGACAAGATGAAACCAGGGGTAGAGGAGGAACGGTAACAGAATTGTAAACTGCAGCTACATTTCTAACAAAGGAAAGAAAACTTGCTATGCTGTCAATGAACGTACCTAAATCTCCACACATGAACTTTTATACCATAATGAATATTATGGCTCCTGTAACTGTAGTTGCTTAACTGTATACTGTGCAATAATCCTAACAGACTAATCCCTGCTAAGAAAAGTTGGCAGCGTACCAGTAAAACATATACAGGATAAGGTGGGGGGAGAGGGCTCCTTGTAGTTTAAGGTAATTTCTTCCATACAGAATATTAAAGTATATCAAAGCATGTTAAAGTTTTAGCTTACATTTATTAATAATACTTAATAATTCTAGGTCTTTTCCACATTTTTATGTATTACATCATATAATGATGCCAAGCTTCTTATTTATTTAGCAGCCTTTTTCAACAAGCTAAGCAACTAAGTCATTACAAAGCATACCTTTGAATGTCTGCTAAGATGAAAGTCATTGAATTTGTAAGCAGGGGAGTGGATTAATTTAGGAGGCATTTGGCAGACAGAAAGATCTCACTTCAGTGGGATTCTAATGGAAAGTAAAGACGTAACATGAGAGAAGAAGCTATTCTGTAACACAAAATGAGTGCACTGGAAATCAATGCACCCCATGATCTGAGGTAGCTGAACTTCAGAGAAACAGTCTGATGTTAGGTGGAAGAGTAAAACAAACACAGATAGAAGAATTAGATGTAAAAAAAAACTAAAAAAGTGTAGGAAAACTCAAGGTAAGCATTCCTAGGAAATTTCCCAGATGTCAGGTAGTACCTTTTTTATTGTTTGCTTGTTTGTCTTTGAGGTTCTAGAAAGCACAACTTTCGTGTCACTAGAATTTTGTTACCTGATTATAGAACCATTTTCTTTCCTTACCTAATGTTGGTGAGTAAAAGACTTAGAATAGTCCTTTTTCAGTACCTGTCTTTGTGTTAATTGCCAATAAAAAGGCTGAGATGCTATGATATTTCCCTGTGCAACACTTAGCTGAAATGACTGTAATACCTACATCACCACATGGGAATGATTTAGAGTAGTGATTGTTCTATTTGTCAGCACTGATGTGACACATCCTGACATTGGCTTTCTGATTTACGCTCACAAAAACAGGATCTGCCTACAGAAAATTTTGAAAATCTATTCCCATTATTGTTACTTCAAACATGTCATGCATGAAAAGCCATTAGAGGATCAAGAAAGACAAGAAAGTTTACCGTGCCAAGAAAAGAAAACAAAAAATCAGGTTTGGTGATCTTTTGCTGGAACTGCCAGTGACCTCAGATCACTGTGGTCCCACTGACAAGAAAAGTGCTGCATGTTGCTAGCAGATGGCTCCCTCAGCATACAAGGAAGTTTTGGCTTTCTCTCAGAAGTCATAGAGGCAGATGCCACAAGTCATCTTCAATGGAGAGTGGAAGGAGTAGATGAAAGAGAAAAGGGGTTCTGGGTGTTTTATAACTTATAAAATAAGATCTGAAACCCACATAGAAGTGTGCAGTTTTCAGTTAGGAATTCATGCTGACATCATGTAATCTAGTTCTCAGTCATAGGCTCACAACTTCAAAACTCTGCTCTAAATGGAAGCAGTATTGTTCCTGTATTTCTCTATTGCATCCATGCATCTCATCCTTGAAATGTAATCTTTTACTTTTTTTTTGTAGTCTTAGAATATTAACATACAAATGACATATCCTTACTCATCTCCTTTAAGCTTGGCTTAGCACAGCTAATGAATTCTGGGGATTCCAAGTGCCGCTGAAGAGGCAGTGGGAGAAATAGAGCAATTAACTAAATATGTGCAAATTGCGGTGTCTCACCTACTGAGCAGGAGATTAAAACTGGAGACAACCTATCATAATTTACACTATCACACATCTTTCTTCAGCCTCTTGGAAAGCTAGATGTACTCACTGTCAAAATGGGATCAGTGTTTCAACCCTAGAGTCTACTATATCCACCCACATGGTATACTTTTCTGTGAAACAAAAAGTTTTAATCTGTAAAGTATATCTCAACAAGCTAGATTCCCAGTTTATTCAAGCAAGTTCTGAAAACTCAAATGCAAACCCAGAAAGCCAATACATATAGAAAATACTAGAAGATCTGTCTCACTGGATTTATTCATTGCAATAATAGCAAATCATGAAGCATCTCTTCTGAATCTCATATTCTAATTTTCAAAGAGACAATCTTCTGAGAGCATGTTCAAGCTTTCCAGCTGTCCTCTGTTAAAAGTATGTAAAGATCTTGATATTTATTGCATACTTTATCTGAAGCATCAAGGCTTAAGGCAATGCTTAAAGTCTGATAAATGACTTTTACTGCTACGTTTATGGAAAGGTAGCTGCTTTGGAGTTCACACTGAGTGATTTCGGCCTGCAAAAGTAAGGCAGAGCACCCAGCTCTTGTATCCTCCTTGAATCTAGTAATAACTGAAAATGAGTTACATGGAATATAATTCTGTGAAGCTATCCCTTTCTGGAGGCAATGGGGCACTGTGGGTATCACTGAAAAATGAATCATGGCTCTTATACTTCCAGATGATTTTATACTGATTGTCTATCTTCCATCTTTCCACTCTGCTTCTTCCTCATTTCTTGATTAATTTCTGAAAATGCTTACATTTTTCACAGGATCAAAGGGATCAAGTAGGAGAAATTCTAATCAAAACCATCCCTGGAGCTCAACTCTAGTAATTTTAGCATACTAATTCTTTCCTTGCCCTTTTCAGATTTTTCTGTAACTTCTATTATTCTGTCTACATAATCCAAGATTTAAGGAGCAGGGCTTAGCTGCAATGTGAATTTACAGCCAGAAGTTTTCAGAAGCTATTTCACTGGCTTACAGCATTATGTTAGATAAGGAAGTTAAAGTTGGTTTTACAGGAAAATTACCAGTTAAACCATGAGGTTTAACTGTTAGTGTTAGGCTGTTAGATTATTCTGTGCATAGACGCATCCCACTTTCCAGGCTAACACAAGTTAAGTATTGAGACAAGTGCTACCAGCTGTACAAGAGGTACAGCTCCATCAGCCAACAGGGGCTGGATATTCCCAGGCTAGAACTAGGGCTAGCCTAGGGCACAGGAACCCATGTTGTTCCAGGGCAGTGGAACACTACTCAACACCTGAAAATGTGGTGAGGAGGAGACTGTTCATGAATGCATTGTACAAAACAGGTGCAACTACAGCATGTAATTGCGGTTTGCAAATAAGTTGCAAAGCAGCTGTTTTGTATTAGCAAGGGAATGGAGAAACTTGTTTAACTCCTCCCATATGGATGATTTCTTGTTAGTAGAATACTGGAGGAACAAATTATGCAGAAGAAATTAAAAAAAATACTAAAACAATAGTAAAATAGAAAATAGCTTCTGCTTGAGACAGGAGAATACGATTAACATTACATAATCTAATAATCTAATTAACTAAGACTAATGAGTTTTTAAAGATGCTCTTATCATTGGAAATAATATTGTCATTTTCAACACAGATCAATAGAAATTTAAACTGAAAATTCTGTCTCCCTTATTTTGAAGCAATTTTGTTTTTTTAAAGTACACCTCAAACAGTAACAGGACAGAACAACTTTGTAAACTGTACAATTGGAAAAAGAGCTTGAAAAATGTCTAAACCATTCAAGATTATTAATTACAACAGCATAAAGTCCCTCCCAAAGTGACAGTTCTAGATTATTACCTTCTTTCTAGTTTTCAAAATATACAGTAGGTGATTTTAAGCAGTTTTATATCGATCACTTAAAAAGATGGAAATAATGCATTTTAAAATAGCATAACAGTAACACCAACACTAAAAATAAATCTTCTTGCTTAATTCCAGTGCAATCTTTATCCTTCTAAACCTTAAACTATTAAAAGTGTAATGAAAAATGAAGAAGAGCAGAGGCAGGCAGAACTTTCTAAAACGTCAATACTCACCGTAGAATAGAGAGACGATGTGCTGGAGACAAGTGATAACGAGGACCCATGTACTTTAAAAAAATGAAAACATAATGAAATATTGCAAGCATAGAACACCCCCAATAACTCAATAAACTCAATTACTATGCATCTTTTTTAAAATGAGAACCAATTTTCCACAAAGAACAGTTATTATGAGTTACCAGTATAGAGAAGCTATTGATATTTTCTCTTTTTCTCTTTTTTTTTGACAACAAATCATCTTATAAGTACACTCTTTGTAGAAACCAGAAATTGAGTTGTTTATGTACCTGTCCAAAGCTGAGCAAACTGATTTTTAATAAGAGACTGTTCTCAGCAAACCAGTTCTCATTCCCCAGGATGAACTCTAAGGGTCTTCTCAGTTGGTTTCTCCCTCCAGCATAGCACATACCAGTGCATTATGGCATTTGTAGTTTCTGTGAAGGGGCTACTGCAAGATGTAGTGACATACTTCCACTAATCATCAGAAGAGTCAGTCTCAAAAGCACTGAGTGAAGATGGGAAGACTTGACCTCAAGTTTTTCCTGACCTCTCTGAAAATGGGAAGTGAAAACTTAATTGTGACAAAATAGCCCCTTCTGCTACTGGTGACTCTCCTGAGAATAGACACTCTAACAGGGAATTTTGCAGGAGACCATTTATTTCTTTAATACTTTTCATTTTTGTTTCACATGAAATGTGTTTAATTTTCCTGCTCTGCTGTTCTCAATATACTGTTTTGCTTAAATAGCTCTCTATTTGGCACGTGCCTGCATACCAAACTGACAATATAAAATGCTTGGATTAGCTGAATAGACTTCAAATCCAATTTTGTAGCTATGTAATTATTTACAAAGATATGGTCATCACTGATGTCCTATTGCTTTCAGTCTATCCCTGATTTCCAATCTCTGGTTTTAAACTCTTATCTAAGCTTCTTTCCGTCCTTGCACTCAGTGGCTCTATCCATTACCTGACTTGTTTCACTAAAACCTTCCTTAGAACTGCTATCTTGAATAAAAGACATTTGTCCTTTCTACAATACAATTTAACGTGATTCTCTAATGACCATGAACTGCTTAAAGCTGTTAATTACTGCTGCACAGTATTCACTTCTATTTACTCAGGTTGATCACGGTTATCCACTCCAGCTGGATATGAGACGTGAACAGTGAAAAAGCTTTCATCAAAGTCACTGATGACAGATTATTGAAATTCTAGTTTTAATACCTCCTTTTTAATGCACAACTGTTTGTCTTGTTTTCTCTATTGTTCGTCCACCACTATCTTTGACAATTCCCCCTTTCCTCAGCAAAGGCTGCATAGCCACCTCTGTCCTTGAATTATGAGATATGCTTCCATGCAGTCAGCCATCCTCTTTGAACTGACAGCTCACGGCTTAATCTGTCCTGCACCCTACTGCTAGTATTACATACCCAGATGTCTTCCTGACACATCATCTAAATTGCAGAAGAATGAATAGAAAAGTAAAAGTGTTATTTGTCCGCTATTTCACCCAGGACTTCTTTTTCTCCTCTTTATTTCTTGACTGTGAGCTTTGGGGGCAGAGGAAAATTTTTAATTTTCTTGTTATAAAGATCATTTGTATTGTTATCATTTAGCAGTAAGCAAGACAGGAGAGATGATGTTCGAGAATGAAGCTCCATTAAATTTTACATTTTTAAAATGAAAATATGTGAGAACTTTGTACTTAGGGGAATTCTGCAAATGATCAGATTTAATGGAAGTGTTAAGCAGAAGAAAATGTTATCACACATTTAATCACGACTTGTTAAATTCTCTGTGGTTAAAAAAAAGACAACAAAACAAAACAAAACCAACAAATAATCTTTAAATTCTAGGTGTTGTGCATAGCACTAAAGAGACCAGAAAGACTAATCTCCAAAAAGAAATTAGATTAAATAGAGGTCAGATTAAATGGAAGAGTTAGAAAAGCAAGATGGTGGTATTAGAATTTAAAAAAGAAAAAAAAAAAAGGAAATGCAGAAGTAGGACTACGAAAACATTAAATCACAGTTAAGATATGCTCAGAGACTTCAAATTTGGATACAAAAAAGAAAAAAATAATTTTCCAAGAATGGCTACCTTTCCCTAAAATTTTCTGGTCCAAAAGTAAAGTACATATATAGGAATGATTACTCTGTATTACTAGGGAAATATCTGTCTGTGCTGTAGGGTAAGGAAGTACTGTCAGTCCAGCTCAAAAGAACACAAAGTTATTTATAATAACTATAATAATAACTATAGTTATTTATTTATATTTGTTTATATTTATTTATAATTAGAAAATTATTTAAGCTTTCATGTTGTAGAAGAAATATTGATGATTTTGGGGCCTATTCGGTGATTCAAATAATAATTCAGTCTTACCTTCTTCCATGCTGTCCCTGAATGAACCCGAATGACTAATTGCACGTGGTCTCTCTTCTAGGGATGTAGCACTGCCACACAGTTGGGAGTCATCATACAGATCAAAAGAAGTATCTTGTGCAGGGATGCTATTTGAACGCATCATACTGGGTCCGGGAAGGTTAAACTGAGACAGGTTGGTTGGACTCACTGGAATACAAAGCTTTATTAATGAAGTATATTTCCATTAACTGAATTCTGGTTCTTAAAAAAATTGTAATTAGGGACTAGCATGGTTATGTGGATTTTACACTGCTGAGAAAATAACAAAATGCATTTATTCCAATATCCAAAGCTATACGGAAAGGGGAAAAAGATGATTTCCAAGGAGCTGGAGTTACATGAGTGTTCCTGAAAAACACATGTAACACTAATGCTGGTGTCTGAATAAACTTGCTTACTTTGACTTACTGCTTAAAAGAAGCAGCTGCCTATTCAAATCCAATCAAACTATTGCTTTAGATCATTCAAGATGTGCCTGAAGTTTTGCTATGAAAACCAGTTATTCAGTGGAGCTATGATAATAGTAAACAGAGAAGGACATCAACAAAATAAATTAAGCAGATCCTATTACTCTCTGATGTGAGTGCAAGAACTATGAACTACGAAAGGAAAGAAAGATAATAGTAAGAAGAAAACTGATAGAGTGAGAAAATCACTGCTTAAAGAGCACTGTGTCTTCAACTACTGCAAGTATATGGAAAAAATTCAAAGTAGTGGTTTACTTAGGCAGCATCCAATTTCATTTTCAAAATTGGGTTTGTTCAACTTCTTTTCCCCATATGTAATAAAGACCAATATTTTTAAGGGCAATCAAATTGCTTTTGAGTGACTATAACCTACAAATGCCATAAGCTGTGACAGAGTGACAGAAGTATAAATTCTTCACCGGCTGCAGCAAATTCCACAGTAAGGATCTAAAATACAACAGCTCATTGTGAACCTAGGTTTGTGTCTAGTGCTGTAAAAATAAAGGGTTTTATATCAATCATTAAAGAATAAATAAATTTATTAACTAAACTAGATTTGAGCTATATTAACTTAAAGAAATATCTAGAATAATTAAATCTAACTCTTGACCTGTAATCAAATAAACCTAAAGTGTGATTCACATCCTGTAATATTATAAGGATTAAGGATAGAACACTGATTGGGTCCAAAGCAGCTGTATGTAGGTCCACACATGCACTGGAATGCCTAGAAAGACCTGTCTCAAAACAAGCCTGTTTACGGGAAGAAAAACAATGTTTAGCATCTGGAATGAAATCCACTAAACTCACTAGAAAGAATCCTAATGTCTCAGATAGGCTAAAAGACGAGCAGCTCTGAGCTAAAGGCAAATTTCCAGCTCTGCCTTCGATTTTCCTCTCCTTGGGCAAATCACAGAAAATTTTTGCTTTTTTCTTGTAAACAAAATAAGAAGTATCCTCATCTACTCCATGAAAAATGTTGTTTCACTTTATTAATGAAATACCAAAATGTGGTGATAGAGCAATCTAAATACATTACTGAATTTAATAAAATAAATATGAACAATTGGATATTACGACATTATTCTGAAATGGGAGAAACAGTGAAGGGAAATAGCATTTACCCAGGTTGGAAAAGTGATATTTTCCAGTCGCAGATGTAGACATAGCTGAAGGAGAAACAAGTGGGGACTGACTGCCAGTGTCCTGCAGGCCTCCAGTGGAATGGGAGCGTAGCCACTCCTTGCCTTCTTCCTGACTTGTTTGCCGGGATGATGGAGTATATCTGAAAAACCACAGCTGACAAGCTCAAAACAATGACAAGGTGGTGGTTTAGAAAGAAATGAATGTGTCATAAAAAGCCTTTTCCAGTTACAGAAAACCAAACCCTTAGAATGCATCAAGTCTAGTCAGTCAAATGATTACCATCAGGAATTTTACCAACGTAATGTTTACTGTCTTACAACACAAAAAACACCAGGCTTAGAATCCCTTCTGTTTCACCCCCCTCCCCAAAATAGCATTCCCTTCATTTTAAGAAATACAACGATAAACCACAGAAAACAGCTGACAGGAAAGAACTTCAAAGTTAAATGTAGTGTATAGGTTGATGCAAAAGCTTGGGAGCTGCATGTCTAGAATGGGCAATGGACAAACTAGAAGCCAAGAAAGGTGAGTAGCTGCTTACAAAATGACACCTGCCATATCTCATGGGAAATTGATTAGATGAAAGGAATGAAACAGATCAACAGTTCTGAAAAAGCAGATTGCACTGGTAATGACAACCACTAATGTTCACAGTCATGGTCTGCTGCTCTGAATGCTACTTGGCACTGTGTCCCGCCCCAAACTGCAGGGAGGGAAAGGGACAGGAAAAAATGGCAATTAGCAGAAAAAACTATTCAGAAAGAAGTCCGGAAATCGAACAATTCATCTACTGCTTCCCACAGCAATCCAATAAAACATGCACAACTGCCACATGGGCTAAGAAGGAGTAATGGTAACTCATTGCTTCACTCTTTTATAGCTGAACTGGAAGAAAGGCAATTCCAGCAGCGGTTAAAAAGTAAAATGTGCAGGCAGAGCGGATCTTAACCAAGAGATTGATTTCAGCATTGTCTGCAATAGTTTGCTTCACTCAGCACAGTCGCCTGCTTAAAAATGAGCATGTTCTTCACCACTGTCATGAGCCATCAGTGCTCCCCAAACAGCAGAGCTGAAAGGGCTTTTGATATTCTGGCCTCAGGCCTGTGAGGCAGGAGTATTTCTGCTTAGAAAGCAGATTGAATGAACATGCAAGTTCCCATGTTGTGCTTGGGGTTTTGTGCAATATTTTAAGGCATTAGAACATCTTGTTCTGATTAAATATTTACCTCCTTTCTTCTTTCAAAAAATGGCTATGATCTTTGCTTCTAAATGTGGTATAGAAGAGTTACCCAATGGTTATCAGATCAGAAAGATGGTAAAATGAGAATTCAGGATCTGGGTTTTGGTCTGAGATCTCTGCACATTGAATCAATCTGACATTTCTTCTAGGATAACTGATCAGGCTTGCATGCCTATAAGTTGTTTCTCCATTTCACTTTCAGCTTTCAGCCACCATTACAATCTGTCAGCCACAAACCTCATCATTCCATTGTACCCTTTCAGGGTCCCCTTTATGCCTTTTTCATATGCTCCACCTTTTCCATTCTCTCTCAATCCAAAGTGATTGTTTTGGGATAATGGGAAATTTGATTAAATACTTTTAAGGAGAGGGTAGCGCAGAAGAGCAGAAGGTGCTAACTACTGACAACACTTTAGCACAATCTTTAATAATAAAATACTGTTATTTATAAAGAACTCATGAGATTTCAGTCATATAGTTTCAACAACTGGAAGGCTGTAGAGTGTCTCTGTGTGTGTATGTATATATACACCTTTGCTTGCCAAGTCTACTAGCTGGACTAGGGCCATAAAGCGCCATGCCTGATAAATTACTACTGATTCCCTCTTTTAAACATGGAGCACAGAAGAAAGCAGATGACTTCTGTTTTCTGTGTTGAAGACGGCTCTAATTAGTGGGGAATTAGTAGCAGAATGGGACTCAGTATTGCCATGTACATACCAAGAATAGTAGTTGGAGCAGGGATCATTTTATACTTACAAATCTTGGAGAAAAGAATTAGTGTTTTCTGGATTTACCCTCCAACTCAGATTGCATGAGTGTTTGCATTTAGAGTTCAAGTTCAGATCCACCTCTTAAATTTTGTTTTTCTCAATGTTTTCAACAACTAGTCCCACTGAATTGCAAAGGTACTTTGCTCTTTCTCCAGGATTGAATATCCTTTAAGAATCATCTCAAAAGGAATCTTCTTAATTTTATTCAATTTCCAAGATATATCCAGAAGGGATACGTATGCACGAGGCAGACTTGGAAAGACAAAATCCATTGTTAAAATCTATGAGTTTTGATTTGAATCTAAATACAAAGAACTCTGTTGGGAACAAGATGGACAAGAGGAAAAAGAAAGGGAAAGACAGTGTAGGAAAAATTACAGTAAAACAGAGAAGTAACAGTCATGCTCAAAATATATATACCTTAATCCCTTTTTGGGTAGTGTATTTCTGTCAAGGTGCATGCTGTTAAAACAAAAAAAATCCCTAAGGACATATAGAAATATGACTGTTCAGAATTACAGATTTAAAGGTCCAGATACGGGTGCAAAACAGAAGGTCAGTTAATGTTTTTAATGTATCTTTCACAATAAATCCCTGACTTGTGGGAAGGGACAACAGAACATGTACTGTCACCATTTATTTTCCAAATAGACAAGCTCTGAGCTGGGTCAATAGTAATTTGGAGACTGCCCAAGTCATAAAGAAGTCCTTCCCTATCACTTCTATCCTTCTTACAGCTTCACCCCACAATCTGTGCAAGAATCATATGGTCACAGTATGAATCTTTATTTTTCACAGTTTCCTACGATGCACCAACGGTTTTTCAAAAGAAATGAAGGTTGTGGCACCTGCTAGGAGACAGCATGGCCTTGCCAGAAGCCAAATGACAGCTCAGCTTGAAGAAATACGTGCCAAACATACAGACCTTTGGCTTTCTGTTGCTATGGGGCTCACATAGCTAAGTCATGTTGTGGACAATGAAGAGTGGCACTGCGACAACGCTATTCCACATTCATGCATAAAAATCGCAGGGTGGCTGGTTATCAGAGATCTATGGCTGGCATTTTCCTAATTCAATCTCCATCACCATTACAGAGCTGTCTGCAAGGGCACTCACTATCCTTCCTTCAAACAGAGTGCAGTTTGGGCATTTCCTCAAAGAGACTTAGAAGATCAGTCCCTGACTAGTGTGGGCTGAACTTGAGCTTGTTATCATCAATTAAATATGGCAATGCTTTTTCCCTTAAGAGCATAATGTAGTCTCACCATGTGGATTAAATTACGAAATGGCTTTAAGAAGGCTTCTGTATTATATATCACAATCACACCTCTGAGAGCAATGCTAACTTAGGACCATACTTCCTGTCTAAGAAGACTCTCACTGTGTTACTAAAGGTCAGTTCCTATTGCATCAGGGCTGCTGGGTACTTTCATGTCACTATCTTCATCAAGGTAGGTAAAGGCAGTAAAATACTGTTGGAGTTACCATTATGGTCAGTCTGATGGCAGTAAACCACCTTCAGCTTAAGGAACACTTACAAACAATTTTCATAGTTAATCAGGGCCTCACTTGCATGGGGAGTCAGCAAACTGAAGGAACTTAGCAGGATGTCAGTACTGGCCTAGTGGTCCGGGTGACAATAGCTCTGACAGAGAGAAGACTTAATTTTCAGCATTTTGCTCCTGAAGTAACTAACAGGAATGAATAATAACTGGTAGAAACAGAACATCATTATGAATGCATGATTCCTGTATTTTTTAGTTCTCTACAAACAGGAATGAGACCTTGATATTCCTTCATGTATCTTTATGCATCTCTAAATCTCAAAACAAATAAACATGATCATAACATAAACAGCTCCCACAAAGATTTCAAATACGTTAAAAAAGGTTATATTTTCTAATATTTCTTTAGTTTGAAGTCCTATATATTTAACAATAATCTATATCACATTATCTAATCAGTCATTCCTCCTTTAAATCAATCCAAAGTTGTGTATTTAAACAAGCCATGTACACAGGTAAGAGTACCATAGCGTTCTGCTGAAAAACTTTCGAATTCACATGCCCAAATGAAATTGAGGTGAATATTCCTAAACAAAAGTATGGAATTACTGCAATTGCATACTAGTGAATGTATAAAACATTCATTTTCCTTTTTAAGATACTAAAATTTACAAAGGCAATCCTAGATTTTAGTTAGTTACATGAAAATATTAACCAGGGTACTATGTAGTTATTTTTTCAAACCCATAAGTGGCCATATGTTTTTAGTATCTGAAAACACTGTCTCCCCAAAAAGCTGGGTATGTTACTGGTACAGAAACTAAACTTCTTGTAAATGGAACTGAACTGCAATATCCAGAGATCCCCTTTGAAGACAACTCCAGTCTCAACCGAGTGCCCTAAATTCCTTTAAAGATATGAACAAAAAGTCCTTCCTTTCCCAAAAGAAGCATTGCATTCATAGAAATCTGTTTCTGGCTCAAAAGAAATAGGAGCCACACACCACTATTAAATGAGGCTGAGAATTTGCCACTCTTCCTGATGTCTTTCTTTGCCATGTCAATTGCCAAAATTACTCTTGCAGAAATATACCTGTACCTGTAGGCTGAAACGATTGATCCCACCATCTATCCATTCCCTTCATTTATTTTGCACTGCTGCACCCATCTGCAAGTTCTCTTGGGAGAATCCCCAGGGAGTCTTACAGTTTTTGGTTCCTTCTCCTTGGTGTTGACTTCAATTTGGGAAAGGCAGACAATGGCCATAATGAAATATCTTTGGGCTGTATTTAACTGTTGCAGAGCTGCTATGAAATAAAATAAATTATTGCAAGCCAAGGAACGCTGAGGGCAATCTAGGATAGCCAAGCTGATATGGGACTTACAAATGAGTTTACATGACTGGCTGAGCACACCAGAAAATCTGATACATGATGCACTGTTTCACACCTTTAAAATCACAAAACCATCAACTCAGCTGATAAGTCATAACAATTGAAATCTTCAAGTGCTTAAATGGGTATCAATGCATATTCATGGTTCTCAGAACTGAACCATGTTCTAATGAAGTAAACCAAAACAAATCAATCATGTAATTAGAAAATACTTCCAATTCTGCTAATCTTGAAATGCAGCCATTTTTGCTGATGTAAAACTGCACTGTAAATTCCTGTATTTCTGCACTATTTGTGCATCTGTTGCTGTCACTAAGACCAACCAGGAAAAAAAGGCAAATCTGTAATATTCAACAGCAATTAAGTATTAAGCTAATTACTAGTGATGACTACCCATCGAAAATTTTATCAATTAAACCAGTGTTATTTCACCAATTAACTCCAGTTGAGAATTTTATTTTAGAGTACACAGAACTATTCAGTTTATTTTAAACACTCTAAATTGATGTAAGCTGAAATACAAGTGCCCTTCCAGACTGTGAGTTACACTGCAATAACAAAAGAAGTAGACTTATCTAAATTAAAGCTACTAGTGCAAAACTGGAAAAGGCCCTGAGAGAGATGCAAATTTTGCTGGAAAAGAATCTTTTTTTTCAGTATTTACAGAATATATTTTCTGTTTATTACAGTAGAAAAATCTTTGTGGAATGACATAAAAATTGGCTGGAAGAGACTCTGATGCTGTACAGTTCAGCAGTTGTCAGGAGGCCTATGTTTGCCATTGCCTGGTGAGTATCCTGAAGGGCTGTGGGCAGTGCCCCCAGAAGGTCTGAGACCTGCCAGGTGTGCGTGAGCACATGTGGCGGAGACCTTGTAGACTTACTGCTTCTATGGCTAGTGGCTATTTTCTTGAAGGTAGCCAAGGGCTACTACCCTTAGTAAGATACCCATGGCTTGAGATTTTCATCTAATTTTCTGTGTTCTTTCAAAAAAGTAGTATGGGATAACTACTTTATAAGTCTTACAAGGGGATTGGAACTAGATGATCTATATTAAAGGTCCCTTCCAACCCATGCCATTCTATGATTATATGATTCCATGATACATCAGATTATAGATCACTGGGACAATGCTTTATCCTCCAGAAATGGCATTACAACTCCTTAGACACCCTTTCATCATTCTCTACTTTGTATTTGTGAAAATATATTGTGCTTTGTTATATCCCTTCAATCTAACAAACAATTGCTCACTATTCAGATAACTCTTTTTCAACCTGGCCAAGCACCTTACTTTATTCCCTCATTTGTTTATGAGAATGTCATTTGAAACAACACATGAAAATTTACTAAGTTTCAGATTTCTTACTGCAGTTACCAATTCCTATCCTTTAATCACAAAGCCCAGAATTATTTAAAAGGATGGTAATGACAGACCCCATGCTATCTGCTATTTAATCTGTTTTAACATCCTCTTTCCAAGGACATAAAGTCGAAGAGGCCTTGCCCACAGTCACCTCCATCCCACCCTTCCTCATCATTCCCCTTACTCAGTACATGCCCTTTAAAACCTCTTCTTCATTCCTAGAAACTGCAGGGCCAATTCAGACTCTGTCTGAAGCAGGGAACTGAAAAGTTCATCAGACAACTGAACTGGAGATGTCCCTAAGTAATATTTAACCTTTTCATTCACTTTTAGCATGCATGCCATTAGTGATGCTTAGCTATCAAACTATGATCAGTAATTCGAGAAAGCAAAAAATAAATTTATTTGTATATTTTTTATTAGTTCTCTCTTCTCTTCCACCTTTCCCTATGCTTTCTGTGCAGAGAATGTATGTGGCTTGCTAGGTCTGTCACTTTTTACTTTGGTCTTTCTGATCTTGTCCCTACGTTATGTTAGTATATCTCACTGTGCAGACTGCTCATTCAGTCTTATGCAAGCTCTAGAGTGACCAAAGGATCACTCTATGACTCTAGGATATAACCTGGGTTCCCCCACAATGGCTTACAAAGGAAAAACCATACAATACTTTGCCAAATATATCTGCCGCTAGCATTGCAAAATAATGCTTTTGTTTTGAGGAAATACTTTCCAGCATGGAGGTTTTGCTTTATAAAACATCTCAGAAATCACACATCACTTGTAAAATATCTTTTAGAAAAATAAAACTGCAAAAACCCTACTGGGGCTATAATTCCAGAATGGACACCCTTTTCTCAAGGTGCATTTGCTAAGTTTGAGGCCAGATCAGTATGATAAATGTTTCTCTCTCGACATGACCATGATTTCCCCATACGGACAAATCTGAATCTTAAAATATTGCCAAAGGCAAAGTATTTGGAACCACTGAAATTAAGTCACTGAACAAATACATACAGGATTAGAAGCAGAGGTTGCTCAGGAACTTATGCCAAACCATTAACATTTCAAATGTGATGTTTAACATCCCCTGCATAAATATGATCTTTAGCATAAATTCACCACTCTTCCACATCATCTTATTAACCTCACCATCCATATACACAGTCATAAAAATCAGTGGAAGGTTTTCTGATCTAAATATTGATAATTAATGTTCTGAGAAATACTTGGTTGATGGCATACAAAGCAAATTGCTATTAGAAAAATTAAAGGCACAGTGCAAGTCACGAAATCACTCATGTATCAGTGTACTATTAACTGCAAGATTACATTGGTATATACATATATAGAACTGTAATGATGTTAGTTAGAGGTGTGATTTGAGCTGATACAGTAATACTTCTGAAGGCAAAATAAGAGAATGAAATGTGTGGAGAGTTTCCATCTAGATTTGACCAGAAGTTATCTAGTTTTGTTTTGTTTTTGTTTTTGTTGTTTGTTTTCCATGCTGCTTCACTGAAAGTGAAATCTTTCCATTGGAAAGTCTTGGTATTGAATAATCTCTGGTTTAATACAAAGGAGAAAAGCTCTCAACAGTCTGTTTTTCAAATGTACACAAAAATTTTTTCCTTTCTTTTAAATAATTGTGCATTTTCCAAACAACTAGTTTTACCCTTAAAATGTTTTAAATATTTCTGACTCACTATAATTTTCTTTTTTGAATCAGATGCTGCACACCTATTGAGAACATTGAATTTTCAATCCTCATGTCAGACAAGAATTTCATTATCAAATCTTGGAAATTTTCACGGGATGTGAAAACTGACTGCCTACCAACACTTATTTTGTCTCCTTTACAAAATTCGAGTAAATGTTCCATAAAAAAAAGTTAAATTATAAAAAAGAAATTTTCTCTCAGGGTGGCTACACCACTTTGCATTATAACTTAAGTGGTAAAGCATAAGTCTTTCACAGAGCAAACAGGGGAAAACCCTTTCTTGTTTTTGTCCATCTGTTCCAGATGAAACTCCTGTTTTCTAAACAACATTCCTGCAAGGGAAACTGTATTTTAATGTCTGTGTAATGATTATCAGGTAAGAAAAATTGGTCAGGGCTGGATACTTTAATGTGTGGTCATCTGAAAGCAGGGACCCTCCAGCTCTGCCCCTGCACTGTGCTTGTGGGAAGAAAACTGGTGGGGTCCCACATGTGGTGCAGGTTTGTTAGCTTAGGGGCAGTGAGACAGCTGTGGAGCTTCTGAATGCTGGGAGGGAAGGCAGAACTGGCATGCAGGACTCACTGTGTGGCCCTTTAGATAGATATGCCTTTAGTTAGACAATGTTCCCTTTTCTCTGGTTCTTCTCCAGAACAAGGGAACAATAACAAAAAAAACCCAAACAATTCAAGATAGAAAAAAGTGCTTGTAAAACCTCAAAAGGTGGTTGATTCCATATCCAATGCCTGCAGTAGCTTTCAGCTTTCTTTCCTTCCTTTGATCCTTTTCTACATATAGGACCAGACTGCTAGTTAAACAGCGTCCCTTTAGGAAAATGGATGCAGGCTTCATTTTTTTGGCTCCTGTCCTTTTGCCTCTCACTGGTTTTGTGGTCACTGTATCTATAGGCAAGCTCACCTTTCCGAAAGAGTAGATCTGACGCTTCCCGTCCTCATGAGCAGGCTCTGAACCTCCTGAGTGCTTGTTGTCAGTCCAGAGAGAGAGCCATGATGGCTAAGAGGAAGGTCAATAGACTCGGAACTGGTGTGCAGGCTAGTCATGGACTGGTAACTTGGTGTGTCCTTACTGCCCGCTGAAGAGCTGCTCAGGTTTGCAGCCCACACAAGAGCACCTGATGTGAAAGAGTGCACTGAGGCGGGACTGGAAGCCAAGGAGTGACTTAAGCTTACAACATCTGCATTTAAGTCCGAAGGTTTACTGAAGAGGGGGCTGCTGCTACCACTTTGCCCACCTGCACTGCCCATGCTGCCTGTGCCCGAGGACGGCGATTCCAGGCTGCCTTGCCGTGCCAAGGTGGTACTAGGGCTGGGCATTGCCGATGTGGGTTTCACACCTTCAGTACTGGGTGCAGAGGCAGCTTTACCACTTGCCTTGGCACCAAACAACCTAAATGTAAAACAAATAGCTTTAGAGAAACTGATAGCCACAGTAAACATTCATGGCGTAACATCCTAAGAGCCGAACGACACATTTTAATTACTGCTACTAAAACCATGCCTACCTAGTTGTTCAACGGCATCTCAAAATTAAATTCACTTAACCATATCATAATAATCAGGGTTTGTTTCATTAGCAACAGCTATTATTTACTCCTATTCAGATGTGCTCTTTGCACATGCAGACCCTCCCAGAGAGAGGGAAATTAAGCACATTTTTGTCTTATTGCATGAACAGATTACACTTTCACCCAAATTCAGGAATTTAACATTCCCACAGTCATTAGGCTTTTAAACCTCTTGCTTCTCAAATCTGCTAAAATGATTGCAACAAACACTTGCAAAATCCTTCAAAGTTTAACTAACATCTGAGTATTTCTGTAAAATTTTCCTTTGTTGCTCTTGTGCAGAGTTCCTCTTGTGGTCCCTTCAGACAGAATAAACTGCACCAGAGCTAAACGTGCCCCATTTGTTTCCAAGGGCAGTCCTGGCAGAGGTGTATTTCACATAATTGCTCCCAGTAATTATACAGAAGAAATTGTCCACAGCGACGATGAAAAAGTCCCCCAATACTCTAAAACTGTTGAAATAAAGGCCATGTGATGATTCAATGTCTTACTGAAAATGTATTAAGCTTTAGTTAAAGTGCAGCTCATAAATTAATGAGAAATAAATGCAAAGCTTATCGTGATGTGAAAAATGCATGGCTAATAATGTAAGAATCTGTTTTACTTATTACCAAGCCCACAGAACCAAGCTGCAGCTCCTTCAGCAGCTGGAGATGCTGTTTCGGTAACTAGCCACCAGAAGGCAGACTTGGCTTTTTTTTTTTTTTTTTTTTTTCAGCAATGGAACTGCTTCACCCAAAAGTGCATGCTGATTTTCACATCCCAAAACATTACAGTAGGGCATTTCCAACTGAAATTTAGTTTTGATTAATGCTTTTGAAGAAAGACATGAGAAAGCTGCTTGGAAAATGAAACTCTTCCAGCTGGAGCTGCTGACAATGTACAAGAAAATACTTCATTAACCTACAGAGCTCATCAGTTCTCTGAACAGGCTACACCACCTGTTCAAGTGACAGAACGTGCCTTAACAAGGTGTCCTATTTATGGATATATCAGAATATTGAGAAAGAACTTCTCATGTGCTTGAACAGTCATTAAGAACTTATTTTAGCTTTCAAACTATCATCATGAGAATGTACTTAAATTGGTCAAAGCTCAAACAATAGCCACGGCCAAAGCTCAAGCTATAGCCATGTCATGTCTGGAGAGGTCTTTAGGCCTAAACAAATAATTGTGTTGTGGGAAGGAGTATTACCCTTTTTGCCTCTGTATTTGGTTCTCTGCTTATGGGAAAATATACTCCAAAAATCCTTTTTGCCCACTAGATACTTGTTTGACACATCAAAAATCTCTCCTTTATCTACAGCAATACAAGGAATTCATAGAAAAGCGCATACCTTCGAAATGTGGGTGATGCAATATCTGGGTATTTGGATCCTGGCTGCCTAAGTCCCGGTGTGCCAGAGGCGCTTGCTGAAGTTGGGCTGGATTTTGGGGAACTTGACAGTGAGACACTCTCAGAATCAGACACGGCCACTTTTTCCTTCTCCTTATCTGTCTGATTGATGGTGACAGGACTGGACCGCCCGGACCCAATCTTGCTTGGCTCTCGCAGTTTGGTGGCAGCAGCGCCCGCAGACTTGCTGCTGACATTGGAGTCGATGCTGCTGGTGCTGGAGCGGTGCCCACCTCTGCCTGGGATCCCAGTGCCGCTGGACTTAGATGGGCGAGGCAGGCTTCGATACTGCAGCGTTGTCTTCGAGTTCACGTGCAGAACGCCATCGTCCTGGTTCTGAGAACCGTCTAAGCTCGTCTTCCGTCCCGCGTTGGACTTGCCACCGATGGCTGAGGATTTGGGCATCTTCCCCAGAGTTGCCGATCCACTTGTGATAGTCGCTCCACTTGCAGTGATTATGGTAGAAGATCCCATCCCAGACTTCTTGAACCCGAAGGACCCAGTAACAGTTGATCGCCCAATACCAGAGGGAGGCTTCTTTCCTTCGTCACCACTGCTCTTCCCTGCATCTGATGGAGAGCGCTGAATGGAGGCTCCTTTCAGAGGAGTTTTCACTTTTTCTGAAGCTTTTGCATCATCTGTTTTTCCTAAGTAAAAGTATATTTGAAAAGGTCACTTGTGTTTGAAGCTGAAATATCTCCAAATCTAATTTTAATGCTATGTGATTACAATTTCAAAATGAAAAAGTAAACAGAAATACCATCTTAAAAAAGCAGATCCATTTAGGACTTTTTCAGTTCCCAATAAGCAGTCAGGATCAGGTATAATACTTCTAAGTAAGCTTTCAAGTATTAAACTCTGAAGCCCTCCTGAATATTTCCATATTTTATACATAGCAAGAAAGTGTGGATGTACAAAACACTCCAGGACAGACCATAAACAATCTGATTTTCTGCTGTTTCGGTTTTCTTTTTCTATTAATGGTATTTTATATGTAAGAAATACTATTTGAAAGTAAAACACGACATGTAATTAACATTTCCTGAAGAATGACATTAATTATGAATGTAGAAATCAGTGGTACTTACTGAGTTCTTTGGTTTTCATCAATTACTTTTTTAGCTTATCACTAAATTTGTTCTTTTGTTAGCTACAAAAATTATCAGAGAGATTATGTTGTCATGGTACAAATCTTCTTGATCTATAATGATATCAATTATATGAGTTAATAGTTTTTGTCCTATCCTTAATGTCTTTTCAAGAGCCTCAGGAGAGGCTCTCCCAGACTGCCTACATGCCATATATTCCTACATAAAATTATTGTGACATTCAGAAAGGTTTAAATAAGATACTCTTCTATCTCAAAAAAAGAAAAAAGTGGCAGACAAAAATGCTATTTCTGTTCTTGTCTGATTTATCTCTAAGTATTTACTGTACATTCTTAATTAGCCACAAATATTAGGCATAACAAAAACATCAACTCATATTTAATTCAAGTGATTACAGAGTTTTTGGAGGTAGGTGGCCTGACTTTTCTTAATGAACTAAACTTTAACAAGGAGCAACAATTACAAGTCAGAAATAAATCCACTTGCATATTTGTGCAGTGCACATTTTATGCCACACAAAGACACACCAGGACACTGATCAGGCACTTGCACTGCAAACACACAGGCTACTAGTACATACTCAAGAAATAAGAGCCTCTATTCTGTGTTGCATAGTAGCAAGTTCAATTGGATCTTCCACAAAACAGAAGACCTGGGAAATTTATCTTGGCACGTGGCTACCTTGGTAGGTTCTCTTTTTTTAGTTGCTATTATGAGGGTGTCACTGCTGCAACCACATGAGCACTGACTGCTGCAATGATCCTGAGTGTCCATACAAGATCAGAGGCTGACTAATAGCAGTTCCAAATTGCTAAGAAACAAAAGTGGCTCACAATAAGTTCATTCTGAGAAGTTCCTTATTAGTACAACTGAGGGTTAATACACACGCATTAAATGTTTCATCGGGACAGGTCAAAAGTGCTAGAAAATGTCCTACAAAGGATTGATAGTGCTTTAGTAAAATGATAAATTAGAAGGTACTAATTGATGGCTTCCACCAACTTTGGATTTTTTTGCTGCAAAAGTAGATTACAAAAGCAGCTATTATTCCTTAGAAGCTTTTCAGAAGATAAGAAGTCATCTAGAATAGAAGGAATTTTGTAAAATGAATAGTTTTAGAATTTTTATTTCTTAAAAATAGACTAGAAGATACCTACAATACATATAATGTGGCAATTTAGGTTTAGTTCAGAAACACTAAATTTGAGTCCCCTGGTTTGACCTTTAGAGGTTAAAACTTTTAAACTCAATTTTTAACTTCTTGTCATTTCTACACATATGTTCAGTATAGGTTTATTTTTTCTAGAGAATAATGACAGGGCAGAAATGAGTCCAAATATTTTTTTTAAAGAATTCCCTGGTAGATGTTGTGTACTGATATGATAATAAAACAAAATGTAATCACAGCTTATCTATACATGTTTGATTAATAACTTATTATTCTGCAATGTAGCACACAATCTTGGCTTAGAATCATTTGTGAGAATAACACAGTTTTTGATGTCTGCCACTCACTTGTAACATCCATTAACTATTTTCAAGCCTTTAAAAAGTCTTTATTGCTTATAAGTGAAGTAAAAGTGTAAAGCTTAATTCTTAATGCAGGAAACTGAACTACAAAAATGTCCTACCTGGGGTCTTGAGAGCACTGGTCCCTGCTTTGTGCCTGGACTGAGTGGCTCCCACTTGTGTAGTCATTCCTCTCCTCCAGGATCCCGTCTGTGAGAGGGGGGCTTTCTGTCCCCCCTTCTCCGACTCTTCAGACAGCCCCGAGGGAAGGCCTTTCCACTTGCCACTGCTGTCTATGTTGCTGTCAAAATCTTCCTCTGGTTTCTTCAGCTCTTCAGTGCTGCCCCAAGTTTCGCTGTCTGTAACTGAACGCTTCTCCAAGTCTGTCTTCAGCTACAAGAAATTAGTATGGAAAACAGTCAGTTTCAGCACCTTCAGAACTTGCTGATTTAAGTCCCAGGAAGAGAGAAGAATAAGCTTGTTGCATTTGAACTGAGGGACATGGAAAACTCTTGTTTAAAATGTCTCCTATTTTGGGAAAGACGTTTTCCTCTTTATACTCTTATTTTCAGAAGAATTCAACTCTTCCCTTCATAGGTGAGCTGGTATGAAGTAAAACATAATTTACTCTCATCATCAGCTGTAACACCTTATTTATTATCATCTGCCTATGAATTTCACAGAAGAATTACTGTGCTGAGGGGTTTCAATAAAGCCTGACTGGGACGATCCCTAAAGATACTGCTAACCTCATTGTAGGCTGCTTTCTTGTTTTTATTTGCCTGCTGAAATCTTCTGCTAACCAAGTTAGAACCACTGCTCAGCAGCACTGATTATGCTATGCCATCAGTGACAAAGCATAACATCTCTACTAACATTATCAGTGCTGCAGATGATGGCTTTTCTCCACATTTTCCTCCACTAAGCTTAATCATTTTGATCAAGAAAGTTGCTCTAGGTGCATCAGCCAGAAGAACAGCTTTTGCAAGCAGTACCCCACCAGGAGGGAAGGTAATCGGCTGGGCTCATGCTTGCTCAGTAACTCAGACCCACGTGGAAGATCCCAGGCGACCTAACAGTGCTGTGGCAGTTGCCTCCCCACAGCCCCAGGTGAAAGCAGCATGCTTCAGGGAGCAGCCCAAAATGCAGGCACCATATCAGCTTTGGAAGTGGCCTAAATAGAAATGCCAGGGACTGATCCTACCTCTGGTGTTGAGACTCACCATCTCTGTGCTGACAGGTTGTTTGTTGTCACCTTTCCTCCTCCGTTTTCCCAAAGCCTCCCTACCTCAGTCTCAAGCCTCACTGGCACATCACCATCCCAGTAGCCTGTTCTCTTTCCTCCTTCATCTTTACATTTAGTTTACCTACACCTCTAACAATAAAACCAGTGTGTTAGTCAGGTATCACTACTTATTGTGTGACAGCACTGTCCCTATACAGGCACCCTAAGCAGTCCTACAAACTGGATCGTGATCAGAGGAGAGCTATTTATTAGTCTGTGTTACCACAGCTCCTTCACAGAGACACCTCTGTTGTTGTTTCCTAGACACTGCTGTCATAAGAAGGATTAATACTGATTAGATAATCAGCGTAATCAGTAATTGTTTATACATTTTTCATTTAAAGCGTAGAAAACACAGAGGCAGTCAGCACTCTCAAAACTTCATATCTGTTTTGGAGAGGCTTACACAGATTTGGGGTAAGGACTGTCAGGAAAAAAAGCCTAAACAAAACTTCTACACAAATATTACAGGGTCCTTCATATCAGAGTTTGTCTTGGTGCTATTTTCAAATGTGTAATGTTCCCAGAATTTTTCTCATAACTGAGCAGTTATGAACACATAGCTCTATATTTTTTGAAGCAAACTGCACCATTTCCAAGGAGTGACAAAAACAACGCTTTTTAAAAGCCTTTTTTTCACTATTACTGGACCCCAACAGCAACGTTAATCCTGTTTTAGTATGTAAACAACAACAAAATACACAATGTAAACCTCAGGTTACAGACAGCCTGCATTGCTACAATCACGAGAAGATGGCAAAAGGGACCTCTGTGTTGCAAGATTATGTCCTGCACCTGGAGAACAGCTGGCAAAATCCTTAAATACTGTGCTTATCTCAGCTTCTGGCTCAGACTGCAGCCAGTCTGGAATACTCATTTCTCTGATTAATCTGCTTGATGTGAAAACTAATAAAAGTCTGTTCATAGCTTTCATGACATAATGCAATGTTGGCAGAAAAGCAGTGTTTGAAAACATGCTGCTTTTATGTTTATCACAGAACAAAATGCAGCTAGTATAATGAGTATTTAGAAGATGAGTTCACTCAAGCAGAAAACCCAGAAAGAGTTAAATGGTCAGTCTGAGATTTCTCAGTGATGATGATGATGATAGTGCAGTGGAACAAGGAAGCCAGGACCCAGCTGGCTGTTACTGTTGGTATGAAAAGAGAGAAGCAAATCTCCAGTTAGCAACCATGGGAGGACCTGACTGAATGGGAAAAGCAATGGTAAAAACTGAAGAATGCTGGCATCTGTGTGAGTACCATCTCATGAGTACAGAAGCAGCCTGAAACTCATTCCAGAGCTTCTATTGCTTAAGAATGGAGATTAAGACCATCTCCATTCCCAGACTTCTCCATTGTCTGTGGGGAAATAAAAAATGTGTTCTCATATTGACACAGTCCACCACAGTCCACATCTACAAAAATGGTTCTCTCAACTCCAGGCACTGGCTGCCTGCAAAAGTCTCTATGGAATTCAGGGTGTCAGTCTTGGCTCCTGGATTTTTGACATGAAATCACTAGAGGCAAAAACTTTTCTCCTATGCTGAGTTTTCAGTCTCGAGGTTCCTTGTTTATAAACAGAAGATGCCATACTGTTCTACCGGGACTAACTCTTCCCTTTTTTCTTGATTTTTCATGAACCAAGTCCTGTAAGCAGCCCACATCACCTTTTTTATCACTTGAAATTTTAAGGTTAGCTAGGAAGAAATAGAAGGGTGTCTGGCACAAAAACTGTTCATTATCTATCTATCTGTCTATCCATTCATCCATCCACCCACGTATGTACATACTTACTTACATACATAAATATATGTATCATATATAAAGCTTTATATAAGGTTATATAAAGATTTCTCAGAACTCTATTTTGACACTACATACAGCTTTCACAGCGTTGTGCAAAACTTGGATAAAAGGATCAGTGTTTGTGATTTAAAAGGAAAAAAACAGTAATTATGAATCAAAAGTGACAGAGACCAACAAATCATGGGCAGCATTTCATCTGCAACAGGGAACCAAATAATTAAAACTTAAGAGATAGTTAAACATTTAATGTTTCCTTTGTGGGGCTATGGAAAATAGGATTGGACAAGACTTCAGGAGATGTGTTGGTCCATAACCCTATCCAAAATACAAACTAACATCCAGAGACAGGACCTGAGCTGGTAAAATATAGATATTTCATTTGTTTTGGAGGCATTGTTACAAAGGCTTTTTTGTTTGTTGTTTAATACTGCATACCTGAGTGGTGTGGCAAGAAATAGCAATGGAAAACTACTTACCTGAGCATGAGCATTCTTTCTTGAAGAGGCAGTTATATTGGAGTAAGAGCTGACAGATGAGGTGGTGTTCAAATCATCTGTGCTGAGGTTGTCAAGAGTGTCACTGAGGCCACTACTAACTGAGCTGCTGTCATCCCAGCTGCAGTGAAAGAAGTACATCTACTTACATACTGTACCAATAGGAAGAAAGCATCTCAAAATCAACGGACAGCATTACTTATTTTTCAACAGGTTTACCAGAAAATTTTCACTTTTGTTTTGTAATGTACAGTGCATAATAGTTTTCAGACCTTAAAATTAATTTTTCACTCACTGACAAATGGTTTCTTGTTCAATTAATAAACAAACAGTTGCCTTTGAAAAAATTAACATCAGGTCTAAGCAAGCAAGGTAAGTCATTAAAACAGGTTGTTTCACGCTTCACTGCGAACACATTCAGTACACTGGCAGGGAAATCCATTAAATCTACCTGGTATTGCTAGCTAAATCATTATTAATAACCTGGAGAACACCTGATAGATTTCCAGGCTACAGAAAAATAGAAGGAGCATCTCTTTCGCAGCCTAATCAACTGTCAGTAGGAAGCCAGTATTTCCAAAAGTTTTATTTTCTTATCTTAAGCCTTTGTCTCATGGGAGCAATGCCATCATAATAGGATTCCCTGACAATACAGTCACCAGAGTTGACAGAGAACATGTTATACATCTCTCAAGAAACACAGGCTGTCAACTCCTGTTTTGGGAGATTGAGGCAGAGAATGTGAATGAGTAAAAAGCCATTCTTACAGAATTGTCATCTATCTACTTTCACAAAAGATTTGTTTTCCCACTGAAGGGAGGTGGATTGGTATTTCTCAGACCCAACTCCACACAAATAGCATGTTTCTCCATGCTATTACACTATGACCACCGTGGCTCTTAACTTATTGCTGTATCCAACATTATAGCTGTATACTTCCAATTCTGCCACATTTTCACCTGCTAATCTTGCTTTGGGTTATCCCCAGTCCAGGGTTTTTAAAAAATCCACTTTGTGGATTTTCTCTCTCTCTGATAGTTTTAGCCATCTAAAAGTTAGGTACCTCATTTGATCTATCTGCCTTAGCACCCTTTCTAACTAAGAAGCCTCCAAAAGGAGGCAATTTATCCTATTTTAAAATATATCATAGATTTGCAGGATGAAGGTACATTTTATACCTCTTTCTCCCTCCTGGAGTAGAGGGTTGATTAAGCCTATTACAGACACATAACCTTTGCAGAAACAAAGTTAGGTGACATGTCTAGGTATAATGTTAAAGCTCAAAAAACAAGAAAGGGTACATCTTCTTCTGCTGCCTATGTCACATTCTGCCTTTTAGGTCAGATTCTGTAATTCACACCCAGATTCTAATATTTAGCCCTAGAGTCTAGTTACATCTGAGTACTATTGCTACTAGTCATTCAGAGAATGCAAGGAAAATACCAATAAATTCTGTTTTGCAAGCTTCAATTAACTATTTCACATAAGTGTTTAGAAGGTCCTAGCAGCAGTGACAACGAATTGTGTGACAACAGAATGTGACAATAGAATGATGCACCAGAAAGTTCAGTGCACAAGTCGTGTATCATAGCAACTGCAGCAAGCATTATCTTCATTTTGTGAAAGGTAGAAAATCAAATTAGTAAGCTACCTCGGTGACAAGGTAAATGTATTTTGGAGGGCAAGAGTTTATTACAGTACTGTGCTTTCACTGTTAAGTACAATGACAATAAATAAATTCATCTTCTGCAACATTACCAGGCAATATACATACAAGTTATTTTAAAATATGATTTCATATCTAAGCCATTATATTATAGACTGTCCACATTAACCTTAGAGCCCTCTCTGAAGCACTAGACATTTATAGTGTCTGTATTTTTCAGTGGCTATGAGATATGGAATTTCACTGATGCTAAATGCCATTACTGAAAAGTTATGCATCACATAAGAACATAACATGTGTAACTACTAAAATCAAGAACCTTAAAGTTGAATAAAAACAAATATTTCAACATGTGATCTGTTTTTTGCAACAATGATATCACCTCATCACTCTTAAAAGTAAACAGTCATAAGATAGATTCAAAGTATTGGGCGCTTGCACAAGCAACATGAATTTCTGAGTATGACAGTCACATTAATAATACTTGATCATCAGTTTCTCGAGTCTATTGTAAGGCCCTGGGGATAAAGATCAACATTTAATTCAATTTGCTTATGTCTTCTCATTATTTTATTCTATTTAATTTTTTTACTGCTTCATTTTATGCTCATTTTTCTCAGTAAGAAGATTCAGGTTTTCTGAATTCAGAAATAGTCCACATCTGATTCACAAAATATTAACACATCAACAGCTGAAGTTGTCAGGCAAAAATGACTATGATTTTATGCTCATTCTGTATGGCTTCTCTGTAGTGTTTCACACTCATCACACCTCACTCACCAGGGGATTATTAGTAGGTTCTGGGAACACTCATGGCCATCCTGTAAGATACATACAAGATTACTTTGACACTTCCACTATTGACCTTTCAGAGTCATCACTATATTTGTCTGGAATTTTTCTTTCTGACAGGAGGTGCTCAAGATGTTTTCTAAATGTGAATCATAGCATCGTAGAATCATTAAGGATGGAAAAGACCACCAAGATCATCTAGTCCATCCATTGTTGAACCCTTACCAACGTGTCCACTAAACCACGTCTCTAGATGCCATATTTGCACTGTTACTGAACGCTTCCAGGGATGGTGAGTCCACTACTTCCCTGGGCAGCCTGGGCAGAGTGGTGCATCACCACTCTTTTGGAAAAGAAATCGTTCCTAACACCTAACATGAACCTCCCTTGGCTCAAGTTTCAGGCAGTTGTAGAGAGCACTAAGGTTTCCCTTGAGCCTTCTCTTCTCCAGACTAAACAATCCTAATTCCCTCAACCACTCCCAACAAGACCTATGCTCCAGACCCTCCACAGCTTCACCGCCCTTATCCAGACATACTCCAGGGCCTTAATGTCTTTCTAATAATGAGGGGGCTTTCATACTCAAAATTTTCTACTAACATTCAGAATATCTGAAGCAACAGGATTACCGAAATCTCCTTCTTTCCTATAGGTCATTTTTCTAAGCAGAAATTGATTCCTTCTTGACACGCTTTTTTTTTTTTTTTTGTAAGATCTTTCTAAAAATATATAGTAAAAAAACGGTAATTCTGGCAAAGCAGACCATATAATGAAGTAATGAAGAACGTTGTCCTGTGTTTATTTTACTGCATTGTCCAGAGTTGTTTTAACTTGATCAGGCAGTTTAATCTCTTCTGTTTTAGCACACAGTGCTTCTGCCTTTTGAGCTCCCTTTACTTGTGTCTAGAAAGTATAGCTGCCATCAAATGAGTTAATATAATTTCTGGATAATGAAGATGCCGCATTTAAAATTTGGAACATTTCCTGATGATTCATATTCATTTCTCCTTTAAACTGGAAAAAATATATGACAAAGAAATCCAGTAAAATTTTATGCTCGTTACCATTGGATTGCAAACCCATTATTGCTAATCTGAAGCAAATTTTCAGTGTAACTTCTGCTGTTGTTCCTCCTACCCTTCACCAAAATAATATTGACATTATTCATTGTCAGCCTACCTAAGGGACTTAATATAGATTTTAATATACTGGAAAGGATTTATCTTTCATTTTAACTTAGTCTTTCATTTACTTTTCTCTTTTTCATGCATCCTACACAGTTTATGACAAGTCAGGTTAGCCCTCCTGTTCACTAATGACTCATGTCACAAAAGCACATCTTACCTTTCTGTAACTTTGGCAAAATCTTTATTTTAATATCAGCGTCAGGTTGATTTTATTAGAAGAAAGCTCAGCAAATGCAGCTGTGCTATCTGAGAGACTGAGGCTAAGAAATATATGCCTTATTTTGACAGATTCTGGCAGCCTTTTCTTTAGGAAACCCTTGGATCCCAAGAGGAATAGAACTACCTTGATGTTTCACAAGTCATAATCCTCATATTAAGGATGTTGATTTTGCCTTTTATGGTAATAATCCTATCAAAACTAGCTAATTTAAAAATTTCCTCCAAGTCACACTTTGCTGGGCACAGACTTTTTAGTTTTTCATTCAACTAATGGTCCAAAGTCTCTATCCAGACATGTGGCAGCTCAGCTGAGCTCACCTCAATCTGCTGTGGTCTGGGGTTCAAAACACCAAACCGAGAGCAAGTCAGCAAGCCAGTTCACATTGTGAATAAATGTAACAGTTTCTAATAACCCAACCACATACTGGTATTTGTTCTCTAGGAACACTTCATTAATTTAGTACTCATAAGATGTCTGCTCTAGGGATGAACCTGAATTTTGCATTAAAGCATGCTGTTTCTTGTCATTATTTTGTGAAGTTGAAAGACTTCCGTAGCAGAAGGGACTATACAGAGCATAATTGAAGACTCCTTGCAACCTGCAGGTTATTAGGTGACTGCTTCAATCAAAGTTTTTAACAAGTTGGACACGAATAAAGTGTTTCTAATTTTCTTCAGAGCTTAACATCTAACTTGCAAAGATGTAATGCTTGCAAGCATGCTCTTTGAAACTACCATGTGCTGCAGGCATAGCTCAAAAATAAGATTACCAGCATCTCGACCTGCTTACTAAGTAAAACAAGGGACCACATGTGATGAGTGACAAGGGATATACAAAATTCCAAACAACTATTTTAAAAATGAAAAACCCAACTTCAGATTATATAAAACAAGGACTCTGGATTTCAGGGAAAGTAGCTCAAATCACGATTGCTTGCAAATGCACCTGCACAAGAAACATGCATTCAGGTGAAACAAGCAACTGTTTTCCCACTTCTGAGAGTCTTTACAACCCCATGTAGTTGTTTTCATACTGATAGCATTTAGTTCTACCAATACTTAATTCTGATAATTATTAAAACACTTCAGACATGCAGAGAGTTGAAAAGAAATCTGTGCAGAAGGAATGCCTCTTCAATACGGGACGTAGAAAAAGCACGCCTAGCCATGTGACAGGCACAGAATAGTGGCTTCCTTCCCAATTCCTGGTTAGATTTATGGCCAGCATGTTAGAATCCTTTCTCTGAAGCATACCTC